TTGAAGACAGGCGCAGGATGTTGGGGATGAGTCTGGGTTGTCTGCATCTCAAACTGAAGCACAAAGAGTTCCTGTAGTCTGCAATGTTTTCTGGAAATCCAAAAACTGAAGAAGCTTCTTGGATGATAAGCGAAACGTCTTCAAAGAAACACAAGAAAGTCCAGTTGCCTCCTGAAAAAAGCAGTTTTGGGACATCTTTCTCCAATCTAATGCTCTCCAAATGTCCTGGGTAGGTAGTCGATGACTTACGACCACTTGTTTAGCAATCATTCCAAGTTATGACAGTGCTGAAAAAAGTGACTTACGACTGGCCTTCGTACTTAAAACTATTGCAATGTCACATGATAAAAATTCAGAAGGTTGGCAACACTCCTACACTTCCAACAATGAAGTGTAATTGCATAATGGATTTGCTTAATAACATGATTCACTTAACAACCATAACTACTGTGACAAAAATGGTAGTAAAATAGGGCATGGCTTGCTGAATGATCACCTCATTTAATGAAAGAAATTCTGGTCCCAGTTGTGGTTATAAATCAATTTGCCCTCTGTAAAAACAATATTTAAAACAATAAATCAAAAGGATGAGAACCGGTTAGATGAGTAAGTGAATAAAGCCAACCAAAATCAGAGAAAAGTCAAAGCTTCACCATACTGTTTACCTAAAAAAAAGGTATTACATCAGCATTATACATCAAGCAGTTCCAGAGAATGTGGCAACAATCAAAAAGACTCACTTCCAGGTAAATGTTAACCAGGTAGATGGGTGAGAACTTGAAAGTTTCGTTTAACAACCACCTTGCTTAGTAATGGCATTTCTGGTCCCAATTTGGTCACAAGTCGAGGTAGTACAAATGTAAGAAACACATTTTCACAAATATATGTTGTACTGATAGCTCACCAGCAGTTTAGCTGCTGTTCCCATATTATAAACCCTGCTTGGTGGTCAATGCAATCAGAAACAAAATATTAGTTAATTGTTACCTTGCACAATTTCTGCCTGAATTACCTCGTTAATTATGTCCTGTTAAAAAAGGTCTATCCTTGTATCCTTTTTTGCGTATCTTTCCTGCCATCTTTGCACTCTGAGCTAAAACCTTTGGAAGGAAGTTTATCAAGCCGAACATTCTTGTAAATCTGAACTTGACTGCCAAGAATGCAAATGATTCATTCCCTATGAGGAATTAATTTCCTGTCCACACTACTCCACCCCCTTTAAACATACATTTACTATTCAAAACAAGTGACCCCTCTGTTTCTTTACTCTGAGCACAGTGCATTCTTAACTGTATGATAAATAAAATTCTTCAAATATTTCTGACAATTTATTCTTAGACTAACCAGAATAAAATAATAATTCAGAGTGTCTGTATTAATGATATATGTACTGTATATGATAGCAATATGACAGAACAAATTCAGAGGCTCTCAGTTCCAGTATGTTGGGGGTAAGGACTGTCTGCTAAAAAAAAAAGAGAGAGAAAAGAATTAACTTATATGACCTGTTAGGCATTCAATTTAAAATCTGCCAAAACCCAGCTCTCTTTGAAATGATACTAACTGCCATTCTGCTCCCCGAATGCATTGTACAAAGCTTCATTTGTATAAATGTCCCACCTGTGTATATTCTGTTTGGTGCACAAAATGAGTTTTCAATTATGCCAGCCTTGTAGGTCAGTTTTTTCAAACATGGCAAATTTAAGATGTGCAGACCAACATCCAGCATGCTGGCTGGGGATTCTGAAAGTTGAAGCCCACACATCTTAATGTTGTCAGATTTGAAAAGCACTGCTGTAGACAAAATAGTTGATTTCCTCAACTGACCAGTCAATTGATCTTGCCTGGCTCTTGGGATCCAGGGAGCTTAGAAAAAAAAATTATAGTAGCTGAATTGGTGGCTCTGCCTATCTACAAAATACCACAGAATATTCACTACTTTTGCCAATTCAGTGTGAAGGGCTCTGTTGCTTTCTAAGATTTAGAATGTTTCTTTTAATAAATGGTAAAAATAGTACGATAAAAGCTTTTTTGGTTTGATTGAATTTTCAGTTCCCTAGATCCTAAGCATGAAAACAGACATGAGTGCCATCTAGCTAATCTTTGCAAAATTTCAAAAAAGCAACAGTTGTATTTTATCAAAATGATCTATGTGGAGAGTTCATTAAGATTATTCTGCATCCACAGAAATTTACTATTTACTATTGTGAAATTTACAATAGTCTGTTGACAAATCAGTACACAGCTGGAAAAGCAACTGTAACTCTCCAGATCTTTCTATATACCACATTTTTTGAACCAACCATCTCCCTCAGAGATAAACTCTGGTCGATATACAATAAAATGTTAAAAAATAAAAACAGCATATAAAATTATTATTTTTTTAAAAAAGTTCAAAGGAAGAAAAGGATAATTAAATCTTGTTAAAAATTAGTTAAAAAGACAAAGAAAGGGCTCTTTCTTTGGGTACTAACCAGTTGCAGTTGCATGCTGTTCTGAGCTCCCCACACAACACTTAGTCTAGAGTCATGTTTTAACTCCTTTTCAGAAGGCCAGAAGTGTAGAGCACTGCCTCACCTTTGGGGGGAGAATATTCCATAGGGCAGTGATGGCGAACCTTTTAGAGACCGAGTGCCCAAACTGCAACCCAAAACCCACTTATGCATCATCGAGTGCCGGGTGGGTGTGGCCCATTGGATGGGCGTGGCCCATTGGATGGGCGTGGCTGCAGTGGTAATGGCAGACTGGGTGGGACTAAAAAGTTCAATGAATCAATTCCAACTTTGCAAGATCTTTTTTTTTCCCGTGAGAAGTTGAAATTGACTGATTGAACCTTTTTTTTTTTTTTGCACACAGCGGCGGAGGCCTAAAGCGAAAAGGTTTTATAAAACCCAGCTGAAGGCCTAGGACCGGGGCGACAGCGCGCGTGCCCACAGAGAGGGCTCTGAGTGCCCCTCTGGCACCTGTGCCATAGGTTCGCCACCACTGCCATAGGGCAATGGCAGAGAAGACTCTCTTTGTAGACCCCACCAGACTTCTTTATCTGATGGGGTCTGCAACATACCATACCTTCCCTTCCTGAGCAGGTGGGGTGGGCCGATGTAATGGAACGAAGACGGTTTCATAGATAGCCTGACACCATGCCATCAGTGCTTTATATGTCACAACCGGCACCTTGAGTTGGATCTGGAAGCTAACTGGCACCCAATGTGGAGCAAAGGTATTACATATGCAGGTACCCAAAATTGCTTGTGCAGCTGCATTCTGTATCAAGTGAAGCTTCTAGATTCAAGTGTAGAGTGCATTGTAATAGTCCAGACAGAGATGACTAGGGCATGAGTGATAGAACAGGTTAGGATGCCGGGACTGTCATTGCAGTACACAGATCTGTTATCACTAGGCCACCATATTCTTGACTGTTGGTTAACAAGTAATGAGCAATGCTGAGTGTCACACCTATAAAACTGATTATAACAACAAATATATGTGCAGATAAATTACATCAAGAATTTGCAGGCTGAAATGACTATATGAATCCATTTAATAGACTTTAGCCATGCTTTCTAACTACTATAATTAAAAACTGTGTACTGATAATCATACTATATTTTTCTGTTTGGACTTGGCTATGATGTATGCACATAGCCTACATTTATAGAAAAAAATAAACAATTAAGAAATTCCATACAGCATACTTCAGATGAGTATTATTTAAGCTTCCAAATACCTCATGTTATGGTATTTGCATATCACAAATTTAGCTAGCATATTTAACCATCATGTACTAAATTAATCTAAGTTTGTACAACATACTGAGCTGCAACCTAGTTACCACTTTTTCATTCAGAATACTGCAGGGGTGTCAAACTCAATTTCACTGAGGGCCGCATCAGCATTGTGGTTGCCCTGGGGGGGGGCAGGTGGGTGTGGCCAGAGTGGGTACAGCCTACTGGGTGGGTGTGGATGGAGTAGGTGTGGTCTACTGGGTGGGCGTGGCCAGTTCTACATAATTTGCGTCAAGGGTGCCTATGGGGGCCTGGGCAGGAGTGGGACAGATCTGAGGGTCTCTGGCAGAAGGGGGTGGGACCGGAGCAAGTGCCAAGGCATGGTCCACCGGGGCAAGTGCCAAGATGGTCATCACAAAATTGTACATTGGCTCCCAGCTGGCATGGGCCAGGGCCAAGGCAGCGGGGGCCGTTCCCTGTTTCCAGGATGGCTTCGTGGGCCACATGAAACCAGTTCGCGGGCTGCATCCAGCCCCCGGGCCTTGTGTTTGACATGTCTGGAATACTGTGTAAACCTGGCCAGAGTTTAAGGCATAATCCATGAACCTGCAAACGTAAGAGTGATATTAAGCCTCTTTGTGCGAAAGGCCACGATACATGATATTCAAAAGCTGAAAGGGTAAGACGAGGTTAGACCATCAGGAGTTCCCACGCCTTAGGCAAGATTGGGAAGTGAAACAAAAAATCCAAAGAACGAATGCAATGGCAAACCACTTCTGTATATTGTCAAGAAAACTGCACAGCCACCTATTTTTGATTCTAATACATTTTTAACGTGTGGGAGAACTCATTAAACAATCTCAACGCCCATCACCTACTGCAATGTTTCTTAACATGGGCAACTAGAACAGGGGTAGGCAACCTTGGCTCTTTTATGACTCAGGAATTCTGGGAGTTGAAGTCCACGAGTCATAAAAGAGCCAAGGTTGCCTACCCCTGAACTAGAAGATGCGTGAACTTCAACTCCCAGAATTCCCTAGTCAGCATGCTGGGAGTTATAGCGCACACATCGTCAAGCGTGCACAGACATACTGTATTGCAGCCCTTCCCTCACGCCTCGCCTTAAAATTCATCTCTAGCAGCCGACCCGTATTGGCCATTTAGAAAGAATTGCCTTTTCAGAACCTCTTTTACCTCTCGGGCACACCTAAGTATCGCGAGAGTTTCCCCCCCCCGCGGGGAAGCCCAGTAAAGCAGCCCGATTTGGGTGGGCGCCGCCATCTTATTTCGGCGGAGCTTGAGAAAGTGCTTCCGGGTGAGCTTGTCGGTCGGCGGTTGGAAAACGGCGTGAAGTCCTCGCGCTTTAGTTTCGACGGGGGAGTCGGACGAAGAGCCGTCCCGATGGCGGTGGAGTCTCGCGTTACTCAGGAGGAGATTAAGAAAGAGCCCGAAAAGCCGATAGACCGCGAGAAGGTACAAAGGAGAAGTTGAAGATGGCGGGGAGAAGCGGGGCCGGTTGGCTATCGCTTGGCTCGCCTTGACCGTGCTGTATTCAGGTTGCGATGGCGAGCAAGCCTCACATTCGTCCTCGCATTTAAAAATCTGATCGGTTGGAGATGAAGGATAGCTGAACGTGGGAAAGCTCTCTGCAAAGCGGGATGGAAACTTCCTGCAATTTCATCTCTCTCGCCACTTTGTGAGAGCCGTCGAGTGTTTTCTACGATGTGCTTCCCTGCCGTTATGTCTACTGTGGGTCTACTGGGAACATTTGTGCCACAAACGAGCATAAATTAATTTACACGGACTGAGTTTTGTATCTTGCACCAAGGTTTGAAATGCGGTTGGCTGATTTTGGCTCTCGGGTTGCGCGAACATGGCAATTAAATGATAATTACTTATCAGCCTAGGTAGTCTCACTCTGCTGCCATGAGTGATCCCAAATATGCGTTTGTCATACTCGCCCTTAAAGTCTCATTCAAGTCAAGCTTTACTTATAATGAGTATCTGGGAATGGCCAAGCAGTTTTCTTGGCAAAAATATGAGAATGGTTTGCAAATCCATGATTTGATTTCTCAATCCAACCTACATACTTGAGTTATCTTGTTGTTTTCCCATTTAAGCATCAATCATATATGACCTTAATTATATGCTTTAATGCCTAATGCCTAAGTATCATTGGGCTTGGTAAATCTAGAAGAGTTTGTAGGCTTTTTTTTGGAGGGTGCAAATGAGAGTATGAGAAAGGCCTATGCGCTAACTAACAAAACATTCTAAATATTTTAGCTACCGTAAGTGTATTTAAACTTAGAAGTACTGATATCATTTATATAGCTATGTAGATAATTGACATAATAAGCCATCTTTATATGCAAATTCAGCATCTTGTTAAGCTGATTTAGATTAATAGAATACAGTATCCAAGCCTAGCAATCAGTAAAGACTTCTATCAAAATGGGCGCAGTAGTTGAAGAATCATAAATATTATGGACTCATAAGACCTTGTGGTTGGAGATAATCTTAGTAGAAAGGCATAAACCTCTGGGATTGTTTTGAGCCAATTTTGAGTTTATGGAAATATCAGAAGTATTGTTTAAGGCAGGCAGTAGATTTTAAATTAAAGTCTTCTAAGCTGCTGCATAGGCTGGAGATGTATGCTAACTGTGAAGCTGGTAAGTTGGAGAAAAAACGATGTGGTGCAGGAAGGAAAACAAAATCATAAATTGCCTCTTTTTTCACTGGTTGCTAACAGACTCTGAAAATTCTTCAGAAGGATAGGATTTCTGTGTTACATATGCATTATATTCTTTTTCTGTTTCTCAACAAAATCAATGATACATGGTATAAATACAGTTAAGACTGGCTGTTGGCTTTGCAGACTTGTCCCCTCTTGTTGAGAGTCTTCACCACGAACAATGGGCGTCATCACAGAATGGATGAATTTGCACGAGGAAATGTACCTTCCAGTGAACTTCAGATCTACACATGGTGAGTTGTAGTTGTTCCCTATACAGGTACCATTTGCCTGTATCTCAACATTGCATTAAAAACACATGTAAGGTATATTTTATGGTATGATAGCAGAAAGGGGTTGCTGCTTTTTCTAGTGTACAAAAGTCCTACTTCTGATAGATAAAAGGCAGAAAAATTGGGAAGTCTATTTTATAGCTTTCCTATTAATGGACACAGTTTGTAGCAGTGGAAATTGCACTCTAGCGAGTAAGACAGACATATTTGGGAAACGTGTGAACGTTGCCATGTTCACCAAAGAAAGAAGTCTGCTTAATTTGTTTGTAGAATTGTCTGTACTGATTTTTCACAAACATAATTGTTGATAGATATGTAGGTTATGCTTCTAAAGACAGAAAACATGGATATGTATATTTTATTGCATATTCCTAAAAAAAACAAAGCACCTGAAAATTAATCTGTATGCCTGAGAGGAGAAAAAGACTATATGATTGCTAAATATAGGTGGCTGCTAGAGCAAGTAGGTGATTTGTATATTCTATTTGAATGGTAACATGCATGGAAAAATTAAGTCATGCAAATATTGGTGGAAAGGCAATGGTTAATATTTGGGAGAATTAATGTTTGACAAAAGAAACAAAAATAAATGAGTTTTTTATCACTTGGATATTTGAAGTGACCTAGTTAAGTTAGAAGAAACATCAGAAGAAATTGAATATAATGGAAATGGGGTACTTAAGGTGTGTGTGATATAATATGGAAGGTCAGGAAAGTGAATTCAAAAGTGAGTTTTATATAAAAAAGTAATTTGAGGAGGTTTCCTCTTATACAGGGAACAAGGACTAACTAAATTATATAAAAAAGATCAGTAACTTGAAGGGGAAGACTTGAATGGAGCTGAATGTCTTAGAATAAGTAAGAAGTTTGAAGGATGTAAAGTAAGAGTGTATAGATAGGATGGAACCAAGGATGGTTGGCAAAGGAAAATATATGGAGGGCTGTGGTGTTGAGGTAAGCTAAATTTATTTTATTCCTCCTTTAATTTCCTTTGCTTACTACTAATGAAAGACAATAATATGGTAGATGTATGGATGGGTTTCTACATGAATGCTTTGCAAAAAAAGAATTAAGTGCTAATTAGAATCAAGACATAATGACTTGAGAAAATACAAAATATCTCTGTGTTCTGGTGCTCACATAATTTGGGAAATCAGAGGAAGCTAATTTTGAAAAAGATGTTTACCACCAAAAGAAATTAAATATTTGTGAAGTACTTAGTGGGAAAAATATTTGATGCAGTACTTTTCAGTTCTCTGGATTCTTAAGTTTTATAAATACCATAAAGTAAGAATCTATATTAACTAAATTGACCTTGATTTTGTTTTCCTCCAGGATGGACGCAACTTTAAAAGAGCTGACCAGTTTAGTGAAGGAAGTCTATCCAGAAGCAAGAAAGAAGGGGACACATTTCAACTTTGCAATAGTTTATACAGATCTTAAAAGGCCTGGGTACAGGTAATACAGCTGATGGTAACAGAGAATCTACAGTGTTGTTAGTTGTTTGAAAATTGTAGCATACAGTATAGAACAAAAATTAATATAATGATGAATCTTGAACTTAGTGCTTGCAAATTAAAGAGTCTTCTTACAGTGGTTAATTATATACTTTTCCTTTTCCTATAAAATATATTTGTAAAGTTAGGCAGGTGCGAAATAAGTATATATCTCTGAACTGTAGCTGTCAATTATTTCAGGAGAAAGCAGCTGATTTCTTTCAGATGGAGAAAGTTATTTGATGCTAGGAAAAATAATAATTCCTCTCTAAAGAAATTACAAAGAGCTTAAATTTGGTAGCCAGAGATGAGTATTTTAAGTTGCAAATTTCAGATAGCTAATTATGAGTAGGATTTTTGTACATTTAGATTAGAGAACATCTGTTCTTCCAATGCAATTGCTTAGTTGTAGGGCAGCTTAGCATAAGTTGAGTAATTGTTTATAGTATGATTTCTCAATAACATTTAAGCTATCATTCTTTTTGTGTGCATGCTAGACATTTTCTATAAATTTAAAGCATTAACTCTAAAATAATATGCATTTGTCTTGCATGCTTCCCAGTCTTTGTATTTGCAATGGGCCACAAACTCAAGGTTGTATTGAAACATTACAGATAGGCTTAACTAATACTAAAAAAGTTAGGTGAAGATAACACATGAAACAAAGTCTAGGATTATGGTTGAAAAGCTGCTGAGGTCAATAAGACACAAATCTAAACAAGAAAATGTTAACACTGTTACGTATAACACACACAAAAACCACTTGAAGAACACACACAAAAGGATATATGGTTAATTCCAATTTTCTGGCATATTATCTTCATGCCCAGTGTTCACAATAGATAGTACTAGGGCAAAGGAGGTAAAATATCTCATGTTGAGTTACATAATTATGTTCAACATGTTTTTCCCATTTTGGTTTTGAATAACTTGGTTTCCTGGAGGAAAATAATGTCTCCTTTGTTTCTTTCTACAGGGTGAAAGAAATTGGTAGTACAATGTCGGGAAGAAAGGGCACAGATGATTCCATGACTTTGCAGTCTCAGAAGTTCCAGATAGGGGATTACCTAGACATAGCAATTACTCCACCAAATCGAGCGCCACCTCCTTCTGGTCGTATGAGACCTTACTAATATTTTGCCTTACATCACTGTCATCCATAGACCTTCATCAATTTGTATCTGCATTATTGTACTGATTATTTTACTTAGTGATCTTAAGAAGGATTGATAATTGAATTATGTTATTGTACAAGGTGTGCCCTCAAGCTATTAGTTTCCTTTGTCAGTTTTTTTTTTTATAAAGTTGACCAAAACAACACAGCTGTTCTCTGTATTTTTTAAAAAACTTGTTAGGGAATAAATATGCCATTGATAACTTGTTTGTGATTAAAGGAATGTGTATTTCATAAATATAATTTTATTGTAAAATGAACTAGAATATACATGGTGCTCATTCTTGCCTCAACAATGCTGTAGTAAATAAATATACAAAGAAAAATACGGACTACTCCAGTGCCATATTCCCGAAAAAGTTATCGCATTGCTTTACTTTTCTGTCCGTAATTGTTTGTTTTCTCCCACAATGAATGCACCTGGTCCCACCTCTGTGCATTATTGTGCCAAAGGAAAAAAAAACCCTGGTAACTACAGTTAGTTTACCTATAGATAGTACTGTGGCATTCAGTGCCAAATTTTAAGTATTGGCAGACTAATTTCAGTGTTAATTTTGAGGAGGAGGAAGTTCAACTCTACCTCTTTTCCTTTTTTGAAGCAAGGAAGAGATGGAACTTTCTATTGCTAGAAGACACATTTTCTTTTGTTAGCAGAGCAAGCAAGCAATGTAATTTCCATAGCCAAAAAATCATTGCTGCTTATTTCTTCTGGAGGAGAAAAGCTTCTGGTTTTTTAATATGTGAATGGACAAGCAACATTGAAAACTCTGCAGCACTATAGGAACAAAGGGTTGCATAAGGAGAATAGAGAAAAAAGCTGTGGGGGAGGACAGAGAAAGGAAAACAGGGTGAAATAGTGGAAACAAATACAATCAGGAGGTGGATTAAGAAAGATGGGGACAGAAAAATAACAACTATCCTTAGGTGGTCTTGAATCAGTCGAAATGCCTATCTTTAACAGCCCAAGGCTCTCTTAATTCCTTTCATCTATACTTTTTCTTTGTTCCCCAATTCCTCCAATGTCACATTCTTATCCCAATTTAACTGTTCCTCCCCCCAACTGGAAAATGAGTTTCTCAGCTATTTCCAAGATTCCTATGTTATCTGCCAAAAGTACAGTCTGCATGTCTGGAACGTCACATGTCATAATACCTCTTGCCAATCACATTAGCGTCTCTATCTGAATTCGATGCTAATCCTCACTGTTGCATTTTTGACCTGTCTAGAAAATAGATGAGGTGGTCTGAAAATGCATCTGTACTGAAAACTTGTTTCTAAAATGTTGAAACAATTCTATATTTCTGATAGGATATTATTTTGACTATAATCCTATTTTACTAGCAAGTCAAACATTTAATAGCGTATATCATATTTTCTCTAATAATTTCACAGAAATCTTAATCCCTAATATATTTTCTGGAATTGATAAATATTGGTAGTTATGGTAACTAGGCAAATGATTAAAAGCAATGTTTACTTACATAACATTTCCCTTGATAAGAATTAAGTGTAGATCTAGCAATTTAAAATATTGTTCTTTATTAGTAGCATTAAAGTGCTAATATGCGTTATTCGGGTATTTACTGGTTCTATATCAAGGCTACTATAATCTTTAGCTTCTGAGATATGTCCCAGAAACCCCGGTTTTATTTATTTGAGGGCAGATAAAATACTGAACTCAGAGGGATAAAGCACAGATACAAGTAGTTTGTTTAGTGATAGTTCAAAGTTAACAACAGCATTGAAAAAAGTGACTTATGAACAGTTTTTGTCCAGCCCCGTGGGCTCGACATACACGGGAGGGGGGAAGCCAAGCAGCTGGCCGCCGGAAACGCCACGTAGGGTGGTACAGCTGTCCCGACCAGTGCAGCAGGGCGATACAGCTGTCCCGGCCAGCGCAGCAGGCCTACCAGGTGGTGTGAGAGGCCCCGGCGCCGTCTGCAGGGCCGACCGGGCACGGACTACGGAGTGCACCCAGACGACCTGGAAGGGTCAGCTGGTCGGCGCTCCATCACAGCAGACTCCGGTTTCAGCTCGGGTTTACTGGCGGCGCAGGATGCGGTGCGGTGACGTTGCCGACGGGCGGGGCATCGCGCGGAGGCCCAACAGCCTGCGGCTTGTGTTGGCTTACCGGCGTGGGAGAGAGCCGGAACAGCCCCGTGAGTCCGGATTGGCGGCACAGGGCTCAGGATGTGTCCGTCGGCAGAAGGGGTCCTGGCAACGCCATTCCAGGCCAGAGCAAACGCCATTGGGACACACACCTGAACCGAACGGCGGCGGGGAGGCCGGGCGTTGGAATGCTGCTTTTTACATCCGAAGGCAGGATGCTGGCCTGTTGATTGGGGGCGGAACTGCAGGGTGGGGAAGGCTATGTAAAGTGCTGGGAGTAGATCACTCCCAGCGCTGACTTTATTACTGCACAGAATAAAATCGCTTGTCAACTGGTTCCTATGTCCCTGGTTTGTTTCCACGGACGACGAAGGACGCGTGACAGTTTTCACATGACCGTTGCAGCATCCCTATGGTCACGTGATCCAAATTCAGGCACTTGGCAAATGGCATGTATTTATGATAGTTGCGTTGTCCTGGGGTCATGTGATCACCATTTATAACTTTCCCAGCTGGCTTCCGACAAGCAAAGTTAATGGGAGAAGCCAGATTTGCTTAACAGTTACATAATTCATTTAACAACTGCAGTGATTCAAAAGGCAACATGCTTACAAATAATTTAATCAACTGACAGCATATTTAGTTCTTTATTGATTTTTACAGGAGAGTAAAAATGATTTAATAGTTTGAAATTAAAAGTTATAGTTTACAAAGTAGTTTTTTATTCCTATTAAGTTTTCCAAAACCTCTTTAGATTGGTAGTCGAAGAAAAAAATCAGATTTAGTCTTCATTTTATCCCGAGAATTTTCTGCAAATGTAATAATGAAGCACATTTATATTATAATCTTGTTTTATTATCTTCAGCTATTAGTATATGCACATGTTTCAATAGACACGAACATTTATTTTACAAGATTTTCAATTAGGGAAATAGCATTCTATTTGTGTTTTCACTTCCAGAGTTAGTTTTAATGGGAAACTGAAAAGCAGTATAGTTATTTTTCAGAACTTTTCATTCATTTCTTCCTAAAAAATTGAAAGTGAATTGGCTTCATTCACTCTCACATTTTATCCACATTTTGCCTTCTTCAGTGCATATTGCATATTAATTTATAAGTAAAGCCAATCATATCAAAGGCTTGTTTGATTCAATGTTGCATTCTTGCATTAGCTAACCCGGGGGTCTTCAAACTTGGCCCTTTTCTGACTTGTGTACTTCAACTCCCAGAATTCCTCAGCCAGTATGCCTCGCTGAGGAATTCTGGGAGTTGAAATCCACAAGTCAGAAAAGGGCCAAGTTTGAAGACCCCTGAGCTAACCAAATGCCTATGAAAACTCTATATTACAAGTCCTAATGGGATGTTTAGATTTTTTTTTGCCCAAAGAGCATAACTTCACATATGTTTATATTATTCCATATTTTCTATTTGTGGGCCCATTTCCCCACATTGGAAAGTTCCTGCAGAGTATAAACAAAATACTCAGATCCTTGAAGGCCTCAAGTGTTTACACTGTTTTGTGGGAGAACTGTCTGTTATATTCCTACCTTTTACTTTTTCTTCTTTCATAATCCTACTCATTGGCTAGAGTGGTAAGGCTTTATATCCAAAGCATCTGAGAAGGATGAGTATTTTGATTCCTTCATAATAGGACTCTCACCCCAGGAAATAACTGTAGCATCTTTATTCAATTGACAAATAATGTTGGGAGATCTTAAGCCACAAATTGATTTCCTGACAATAATGATTAGCATCAGGAAAGTGTGAAAATGGCTTGTTTAGAGAAAGGATACTAAGTGGATCATTATAGGTAGTTAAAAGACAAAATATTCAGTAAGCTCATTAAAAATAGAAAATATTATTCTTGGTTATCATGTAAAAATAGCACTTGGGTTAACTTGTTTACAAGAAACAATATCTCTTATGTTTTGTGTGACCCAGGCCAAACTAAATACTATATATAAGGATAGAGTACTACTTATACTATCAATGCTCATCTTTTTTTTCCTGCCAAGATGGCATAAAAATTATTTGGGGGAAGGAAAGGGTGGCAGAAAACTATCAGGATACCAAATATTTTGATTGACCACTGTTTAAGGCAAAGATAAAAAAAAAATCTCAATTGCACGAAAGTGCAAAAAACTCAATTTTCGAAAACTCTGTTTTCATTTACAAAATATAAGGGAAATGTACTTTTTGCTCAAATCTTACCTGTTTTTCTTTGTTATCAGTACAAAGAAATTGCTTTTTTTCAAACCGAAGTATTTCCTTCTTTAGTTCCTTTCTCAGCTGATCTGGGTACTTCTATATTTGGATTGTACTGGGATAAAATCTAAAGAAGTTTAAATAAGAGAGTTTGAAAAACGGATGTTTCCAATTTTGCTGATGAAATGATAACTTTAGTGCAAATTAATTTTGTACGTCAAACCTGCAAAAGATTCTTTGGAATCACAGTTATTTCGGGCGGTGGTAATGGTGAACTGAAGAGGTCCTCATATACTGACTTTGCTGGAGAAGCGGGTTCTTCAATACATTTCAGATATTTGTCTGAATCCAGGACAGGTCGAACACTGTCTTTTATAATAAGATCATTATCTGGCACTATCTTAGTGGCACTTACATGCTAAGGAAAGAAAAAAATAGTGTTGAAATTCTGAAACATAGTTATATTTTTCAGAACATATTAAGCAACTAAATCAAGCAATCATAGAGATATTGTTCTTGAGGCATACTAAGGATTCAATATGTGACAAGACATTTTAATAAGAGATTCCTAAAATTTGCCAGTCTGGTGCTCAATGCTTACCGTAGGTTGTATTTGCTGAGATTTTGTATCAAGTGGAAGTATTTCTGTGGTGTGTTTAGGAATATCCAAATGATTACTTTCTGGAGACTCTGATAAAACAGTGGTCTTTCTGTGGGGAATTTTCACTCCAGGTGTGCAGAACTCAGGTGCAGCAGGTGAAGCCAAAGAATCATAATCTGAAAACATTTGATATATTCACACTGAAAATATGTTAAATTATGCAAAAAAATGGATCAAAGGATTGATTTAAGAAATATGCTTCATGAAAAAAGAAGACTCATTCAGCAGGATCAGAAGAATGCACAGGACAGTTTAATATGCCCCCTGCTCTTTTCTGCAATTTTTGCAAATTTGAGATTCCTAATTGTTTCTTTTTTCCTCTCTCATCTAGAACCTATTTGGAGATATTTGGCTGGTGGAGATAGGGAAAATGTCCCTGAATACTACTGTCAATGCTATAGGAAGAGATCTGACTTTTGATTTGTGGGCTCAGCAGAAGCAAGTTCAGAAACTGTAAGATTTTCCTTCACAACAAGGGGTTATTCATCAAATCCCAAATGTTGGATGAAATACATTAAGGCACAGTTTCCCAACCTTGACATCCTCAAGCTGATTCCCAAGACTTCAACTTAGGAATACAAGATATCCCGGAAGTTATTTGACCTAAATAAGACTTACCATATGCTTCATTTGATTGCTTGAGCGCTACCACATTCTGATTCGATACCATTGCCACTGCTGATCTGATCAAGTTATTAGCAAAAGACAAAAATGTTATTATTTAAACAAAAGTACAACTAATCTTATACATGACACAATACAAGTCTTCTATTTGCGGAAACTGCTGATGTGAATTAATACATTTTTGGAAATATGTATTTTCTCATAATTATTGGAAGAATAAAATTAATGGTTGTAAGAATAGAAAGATATGTATACAATAGAACGTGCAATGATATTAGTGTAAACTAGATTTAGATATATTTCCTTTTCCATGTTTTTCTTTGCTTTATTATTTCTTATTCCTTTTCTATGCTTTGCATAATGTTGTTTATCTCCAAAGGAACAGCAAAATGAGAATAAATGTTACCTATGTCATTACTGACTTTATTTCTTATTCACTTTTCTAAATCTAATATCCATATCTTAAAATAAAATAGAAAAATATCTCATCTACTTTTCTTCCCATTCTTTTGATATTTACTTTAAGTTAAATTATAGATTGTGAGTCTTCTTGTACTTTATAAAATTATATAAAGGTTTGACGACCTAAATATACAGAGGTTATCTAGGGTAGGGTTGGGCAACCTCTTTTGTGGTATACATCAACCAATTTGGGGGTAGTGATGGATGAGCGAGCTGGACCAGATGCTAATGCTCACTAGATGGGGTATATCACATGTGACCAGCACAAGGATTTTCCAATCCCTCTCCTTGTTATCATACTTTATACTAACTTATGAATTACACTACTGGTTCCTCATTTTCCATCAAAATGATAGGAAACTGCACCATATTAGTTTCAGCAGCTTGCTACTGACATTCAGCAGCATAATTGTTGAGAGCCTAAAGAACACAATTCTCACCATTATGAGCTATCAGCTTCAACCAGCATGACCAACCGTCAAGAGAAGTAGAGTTCAACTATAACTGATGTCTTCTCCTGCGATGCTTTGCAACAAATATATCAGTGATGGCGAACCTTTTAGAGACCGAGTGCCCAAACTGCAACCCAAAACCCACTTACTTATTGCCGGGTGCCAGGTGGGCATAGCCCACTGGGTGGGCGTGGCTGTGGTGGTCATGGCAGATTGGGTGGGTGTGGCCAAGGTGGGCATGATCACCTCGATGTTGCTCGGGGGGAGGGACACCTGTGGGGGCCAGGCAGGGTTGGGTGAGATCCAGGGGGTCTCTGGCAGGTGGGGCGTTGGGCAGGAGACTCGTCCTGCGGGGTGAGGTGAGGCAAGGCGAGGCAGGGTGGGGGTGCCATTGTCACAGGGCAAGGTAAGGCAGGGGCCGGGGCGGCCGCTGCCTGACACCATCGGTCCCTGCACACAGAGGCCAGCGAGCGCATGGGTGCTGGGATGCATCCGGCCATGTGGGACCTCGGCGTGTTAGCGGGCAGCTGGTTGAAGAGGGACAGTTGCCATCTCCGGGGCATGGCGCGCGTGCCCACAGAGAGGGCTCTGAGTGCCGCCTCTGACACGCGTGCCATAGGTTCGCCACTATTGAAATATATCAACCCTTTCTCAACTATATTCAGAGACAGCTCATTTTTGATTCCCAGTGGGTTCCCTACAAGGTCATGGCTTGCAAGCTAGGGGTTTTTCCAGGCTTACAGCTCTTCTTTGAACAGCAGGTAAGGAGCTTTGGCCAAGAAGCCCCTTGCAACATAATGGTCAATTTTACTACAGAAAGCTTTGCTCACATCACAACAGCTTTGTTGTTGTTATCTCATGGCTGGTTTACTGTAACTGATCAACCTAGGGCTGCCATAGAAGACATTTTGGAAATTGCAAGATGATTGAGCATGCAGGACCCAAATTGTTCTGGTCCACTCATGTAATATTACAGTACTGTTTTCGGAACTGCTTAGCTTCCAAGTACACTTCAAGGTGCTACAGTAATTACTACCTTTAAAGTCCAATGTGGCTTAGGGCTTGTACATATACAAGACTGCCTTCTCTGAGTTGCATTTGCTCATTGTGTGAGATATAGTAGGGAGTGCTGCTTAAAGAGATCCTACGCTTGAATTTTTCAGGGATATTCTACCTCAGAGGCCATCCCTCCCTGTTAGTTTTGGAGAGCCATGAAAATATGGCTCTTCAGAAAGCTATTTGGACATGTTTGAACATTTCAATGCATGATTCTGCACCAAGATACATCATGGCCTTCTTGTTTATGCTACTGTCTCTTTATATTTCAATATTATATTATTACTTGAAAGCTGCTTGGAATCTGCAGAGATGGGGCAGCAGAAATGATATACTTATCCATGTAAGGAGATAACATCAAAAATATTACTCTTATTACTTCAGACATAAAAATACAAAATTACTGGAAAATAATAATCGTTATATTTTTGTAGTGATTTCCAGGGATACTACTTACCTATTTTTTCTTGCTTTATTAAGTAAGAAGATTGTTTGGTCTTCCATTAAATTTGTGGTTTCATCATTTACAGACAGATCATGCCCGTGGATTTTGAAATATTCTATTTTGGGTGACAAATATTCAGATTTATCCACTTTCACATCTTCCTTCTGGCTATGTGGAATGTGTACTGTGTCTGAAGAACTTGGAAGGGCATATTTTGAAAGCCCAAAATCTGAAAGCTGAGGAGTTTCCAGAGGACTATGAGATTCAGATGATTTTTGAGGAAAATCAAGAGGTTTTGGCTCTATTTCATCAGATACAGCAGATTCAGCGTTGGTTTCATCTTCAACCTTTATTGCTTTAAGAAGAGAATTGTCTCAATGAATCTGGTGATAAGGCATACCAAAAGTCAACAAATACATCACAAATTTGGATTTTCTGTATAAATCCTGCCCTTTTATCACTACCATTGCTTGCTCTATAACCAAGGTTTCACCACTAAATCAAGCATTTTAACCATGCTTTTTTGAATAAGCAATAATGACCTCTATATAAAAATAAGAGATGAATAATTCTAAAGCCAAAGTGTATTATGTTTTTAGCAATGTATATATTTAAAGAATTTAGGAGGATCATTTTTTAAATCATTAAATCACTTTTAAACAAATACTTATTTCGAATGCATTTACAATATAATGTAATCACAAAGCTTTTAATCTAGAGCAGTGTTTCTCAACCTTGACAATTTTAAGGCATGTGGACTTCAACATTGCTGGCTGTGGAATTCTGGGAGTTGAAGTCCACATGCCTTAAAATTGTCAAGGTTGAGAAACACTGATCTAGAGGTTCCGTATTTAATATTATGATGTATCAGACTGCATATATCATTATACCAATTATTCCATATACGTCCTGTACTTAGTTATAAGAGAATAAAAAATTCCATACTACTACTACTACTACTACTACTACTACTACTACTACTACTACTACTACTACTACTACTACTACTACTACTACTACTACTACTACTGCAAATGTTCCATCATATCCCCACCCTATAGATGCAGTGGAGATAATCTGAATTGGTTTAAATAATTATGGGTTATACCAGTATGAACATGCATCCTCAAATGCCATGGAAGGAAACACAATGGGAATAATTAGAAGCTACGTATAGATGAGCTTATTTTACAGAACAGAGACCAGTAAATTTTGTATCTTAGGAAAACTGGCAAAAATTTAAAATAAATTGAGGCATACGGTTTTTAGTACATATGCATATTATAGAAATTTTTAAACTTTTGACTTAAGCAGTGCCAAACCTAGCAGCAATGTTAAGATCAGACATTCAAAGCTATAAAAGATGAAGTGTAATATTAGGCATTGCCAAGCTGAAGTGTCTATTCTTTTTAATATTAGTAATGCACACATAAATTGTACAGTATATTAAAACACCAAATTTTCTAGGGGAAAAATTACCTTCATTCTTGCCAATAAATGGCTTGTAACCATATTTCTGAAACAGATCTCTTATTTTTCCAAGATTGGTTGCATTTTTCTTCATCAGAACTTTGCTGGCCTTTATGAAGTCGTATGTGGCATCTCTTTCTGAAGAACTTGTATGTAGAATATTATCAGCATCAGCCTATGGTTTGTTTTTGTTTGAGTTAGAACTGATTATTATAAAGTAATAAACATTAATAGTCTCTGTGTGTGTGTGTATTAGCAAATTACATGGCAGGTTTAGCACAAAAGCTGCTTATTACATAGAAGCAGCAACAAGATTCCTTTCCTATGTTTTTCATTTTAATAAAAACATAGTTTACTTTAGAACATGTCTAATTATGACTTCACGCTATTCAAAATGATTTGTGTTTTTAAATAAGGTTATCATCTCCTAATAGAAGATCTTAGGATTGGTGGGTTCTCTGGAAATATTACAAATTTATCCTGGAAGGTTTCAGGAGGCATGGTATAGAACAGGGGTAGGCAACCTCGGCTCTTTTATGATTCATGGACTTCAACTCCCAAAATTCCTGAGTCAGCTATGCTGACTCAGGAATTCTGGGAGTTGAAATCCATGAGTCATAAAAGAGCAGAGGTTGCCTACCCCTGGTATAAAAGAAATCAGGTTTTCTATCTCAGGGAATATGAAATACTATCATAGGATACTACCTAACACAGAGAAGCTAATTTTCACACATACTGATCTTCCACTAAACCAGACTTTAACACATTTAAAAACCATGAAGTCCTAGAGAAACAATTTGAAGGTGAAGAGAATAAAGAGAAGCAGGCCATATCTACCTTTAGTGTTCTGGCTTCAGAGTAGAGTTCATGTAGATATCTCATTGAAGAATCATCTTCAAATTCTTCAAAACATTTGAAAATAAATAATCACAACCAAAATCTTTAGAAAAACAATATACAACACTGTACATCAATGTTTGTTATTTAAAAGATGAGATGTTCTAGCAATATCAGAAAATAGCATGGTCATTGGTTGGGAGTCCTAGGAACATCAGAGCTTCAGAAATGAACCAATTAAATGTATAATTCTTGTGAACTGAATCAGTAACACAACAATGTTTTAGCTAATATCTCAAATGCAGAATGACAGTGTCCAAATTTACATACTGTGTTGTTTAAGCCAAAATCAAGTTGTTTGGTTTTGTCTTAGCATAAGCTTTCTGAAGCAAAGCAATTATTTACTGCACTCTCACCTTCATCTTCTTCGAGTAAAATTTGCTTAAATTGCTCAGCCTGCTTCTCCAAAGTGACTGCCAAAGTGCGCAGTTTGTTGAAGAACGTTCCTGTTAAATCCATACTGAAGAAAAGCTAATAGATCATTCCTAAGATGAATTTCGGAAAGAATATGAAAGTTTTCAACTTTTCAACTTATGTTAAATGAACGCATTAAAAGATTGCTAAAAATATATTATAGCTTAGAAATAGTTGAAACAGCCTTTCCATACATGCAGATTTATATAAAATACAGTTGATCTAGTAGCACATATATTTATCTAATTCTAGGTATTTTCCCTCTATATTGCATTTCTATGTGAGAAATGCTGCTTTCCTCCCAAGCCTTAAACCAGGAGTGTCAAACTGCCAGGCCACGGGCCGGATCTGTCATGCCAAAACCACGCCTACCCCATTGCCGGCAATGCAAAAAAAGTCAACATACGTCGCAACATATCATGTGATGTTGCGAGTTGGACACCCCTGCCTTAAACAAATCACTATGTATTCAAAAAAAATTAAAGGGCTCTCCCACAAAGCAACACTATTAGGCTTGACTACTGTGATGTGCTCTACATAGCGCTGCCCTTGAAAAATCACTCAGAAGCTTTACCTGGTCTAGAATACAGCAGTGCAGGCAGTGAAATGTACTGGTTGCCAGTTGGCGTCTGGGTACAATTCAGGATGAAGGTTATTGCCTATAAAGTCTTACCTCGTATCAAGTTAGGATATTTGAGGGATTACCTGTTTCCCGTGGTTTCTGTCTGGGCAGTATGTGCCAGCACAGTTGGAGAGCTCTGGGTTCCTTTGATTAAACAGTGTCATCTATAAGAATCCCAAAAGTGTCCCTTCTATGTCAGGGGTCCCCAACCCCTGGTCTGTGGACCGGCACCGGTCCGCAGCATGCCAGCAAGCGGGCTGCACAAACAACCAAAGCTCCAGCCTCGGGATGCAGGCAACATTCAAAACCACACCCCCTCTGGTCCACAGAAAAACCTTTCTCCATGGCACTGGTCCCTGGTGCCCCAAAGGTTGGGGACCTCTGTTCTATGTCATGGTGCCTGTCCTCTGGAATGAAATCCCCCTGAAATCCATGCCACTCCCACCCTGGTGTTCCATAAAGCCTTCAAGACCTAATTGTTCTCCCAGGCATTGGAGTGACGCAGGTGGGGCTCTTTTGGGTGTGTCTCTTATTTTTTTTGTCTGTATATTGTGTCTTGATCCCACCTTGGTTTCGTTTGTATGAGCATTTATGTCATTATTTGCAAATGGCCTGGAATTACTTGGTGTCTAAATTGAATTAAACAACCATTACAACCGTAACAGAAAATGAAACGGTACTGTGCACACCTCCAGACACTGCCTTTCTCCATCTGCACATTGTACATTGGCACAATTTCAACCATCCCAATTTTTAGCACATGCACAAGTACTGTTACCTGTTCTGGGGAAGAAAATATTTGTCTAATCTCGCTGGCAATTAATCCATGGTGCCCTTCAATATTCAAGCCTATCTAAAGACTCCGTTCTTCCTTCGGGAGAGAAGAGGGGCGTTTATCAAGAACTGCAGGAAATCAGTTTTCGGGAGGCTGAAAAGCTTTCGACCGTCAGAAAAGACTCGCCTCCCGGCTCAAGACAGAGGCCCTCGTCTAAGCCTTCCCTGAATACCTCCGATCATTCGCAGAAGCCGCAGAAACGCGGGACAAACACGCCTTCCTAGCTCGCCAAGACTGCGATCACCGCACGCCCCGCTCGCTCGCTCGCTCGCCTCAAACCACAGCTGGCAACTTCTTTCCCTTCGCGGCGTTTTGAATTTCCCGGGACGGCGGCTGCCGATTGGCTTTCTTCTTGCAGCCCCGTGACGTAGCCAGGCGCCGATTGGTCAGTCCGCATTTACCTGCCTTTTATGACGCGCCCTCTGATTCGGTGCTCTCGCGAGAGGCGAGACTTGAGCTTCGTTCCGCGCAGCCGCCCTCGGAGCGCCGTTTGGCTCGATCCGGTTCGCTCGTGGTGGAAAGGACGCATCGAGGCTCGGTGAGTTGGGAAGGCCGGGTAGCGACCTTGAGGCGGCAAAGGAACGTGCGTGCGGCGGCCCATGGCCTCCTTAGACGAGGGCGACCCTGCGTGTCAGGAGTAAGAATCATTGCGGGTGCCTCGCCGATTGAGGTCGCAGCCGGCCATTGCGCTGCGAGAGTAGCGGGTGGTGTTTTCTGCAAAAGCTTTCGGGTGGTCTTCAACGCCAGCCCGGTGCAATTTGGGAGGGGACTAAAGGGACTAAAGCAGTTCTTCTCAACCTTCGCTGAACTTCAACTCTCAGGATTCCCCAGCCAGAATTTGCCAAGGTCGGGAAAAAAAAGTGCACTACAGCACGAGTTCTATTTATACCCTGATTTTATTTGGGTTTCCCCACTAGAGTGGGGAGGCAGAGCCTTTAACACAGTGTTTCTCAACCTTGACAATTTTAAGGCATGTGGACTTCAACTCCCAGAATTCCACAGCCAGCATTGCTGGCTGTGGAATTCTGGGAGTTGAAGTCCACATGCCTTAAAATTGTCAAGGTTGAGAAACACTGCAAGTTTAACAGATGTGGGGAGAAAGTCTTCATCCTGGTTCATCCAAGCCGGGGATAAATAAACAACATGGCGACTGCTTTGGGAAGAAGGTTACAGTTTATTGAAGAGCCAGCCTGAAAGATGGTTCTGGCAGGAAGGAGGAGAGAAATCAAGGGCTGAGCACATGTGGAGTAGGTTTTTAGACCCTCTGAAAGCCTTTTGTTTGGAATAGTTTCCTGTTCCTGTGGCATGAACTTTGAACTCAGTCTGAGTGTGCTTTTCTGGGTATCTATGGTTTAATCCTATTATGTCCCAAAAGTCATATCCTGCTTCCCTGGTGATGGGGCTAATGGCTCCTAGAGTTTGGGTGGGGTAGGCAGATTTTAGGTCTCTTTGTCTTCTTGAGTTTCTGGACTCCAACTTTCTGATGGTTTTACATTTGCATTTGTATAGGTCTGGCTCCTGCTTGGGACAGAGAGATTTGGGGGCAGGGTTGGTTTCTGCTTTTAAAAATCCTTTTGAGGAAATATATTTTTCTGCCCTTTTACTATTTCCTTCTCTGGGGCTCTGACTTCCCTCACAGAGTTGGAAGGAACCTTGGAGGTCTTCTAGTCCAACCCCTTGCTCAAGCAGGAGGCCCCATATCCTATATTAAGTCCAGTCTCTTTTTAAAAGCCTCCAGTGATGGAGCACCCACAACTTCTAACAGCAAGCCATTTCACTGGTTAATTCTTTTCAGTATCAGGAAATTTTTCCTTGGTTCTAGGTTGCTTCTCTCCTTGATTAATTTCCATCCATTGCTTCTTGCCTTGCGTTCAGGTGCTTTGGAAAATAGGTTGAACCCCTCCCCTCTTCTTTGTAGCAGCCCCTTAGATATCGGAACACTGCTATTATGTCACTCCTCGTCCTTTTCACTAGACTAGCCATACCCAATTCCTGCAACTGTTCTTCGTATGTTTTAGCCTCCAGGCCTCTAATCATCTTTGTTGCTCTTCTCTGCGCTCTTTCCAAAGTCTCAACTTTTTTATAATGTGGTGACTGAAACTCGATGCAGTATTCCAGGTGTGTCTTACGATGGCTTTATAAAGCAGTACTAATACTTTACACCAGGGGTCTTCAAAGTTGGCCCTTTTATGACTTGTAGACTTCAACTCCCAGAATTCCTCAGTCAGACATGCTGGCTGAGGAATTCTGGGAGTTGAAGTCCACAAGTCATAAAAGGGCCAAGTTTGAAGACCCCTGCTCTACATGATCTTGATTCCATCCGTTAATGCAGCCTAGGATTGCACTGGCTTTTTAGGCTGCTGCCGCATATTACTAGCTCATATTTAAGTGATTGTCCACTAGGACTCCAAGATCCCTCTCATGGTTACTGCTATTGAGCCAGGTTTCACCTAATCTGTATACTGTAATTCCAGTGGCATTTATTCCAATGCAAATTGCAAAATATTAATCTGAATAATTAAAATACCTGTATTTTTCACACCAGTATCCCAATTAGCATTAGTGTGCAAATTTCTTTTAAGATGCCATCCCTACTACTATTAATTTCATGAAAGCATTTGATCTAGTTTTCCTTTCTTTCAAGGAGCCCTTTCGATTGAGTATTGATACATAGATATAATGGTTCATTTAAAAAAACTTGATATTTCAAAAGACCTTTGGAGGTCTTTTGATTTCTTCCTTTTGCCTTTTTACTCTATTGAAAAAAATGAAAATATTTCATTTGTTTTATGTCCTTCCAGAATCTAGCAAAAACTTTGATATTTCAAAAGACCTTTGGAGGTGAGCTATGGAGCCACCAATGCCTATATTAATCTAATACATTTTTTAGGGATTTGTATTATGATATTAATTTCTGTAAATGATCTGGAATCTCTCCAAATTGAGGGCATAAATTACTTAAATAGAACTTATAAAAATGAATTCTGTTCTTCGCTAATGTAAGTCAAATACATTGCCTTAGAATGTTCACTTAATATTTCAAATAGTTAACCTTTCGTATTTCTTTTTACAGGGATGTTTCTTACTCGAGTACTGTTTCGAAACAGAATTCCTGGAAAACAATGGATTGGTAAACACAGACGGCCAAGATTCGTTAGTCCTTTAATGAAGGCAAATATGATTAGGAGACTTGAAATTGAAGCTGAAAATGAATATTGGCTAAGTTGTTCGTATATGACAAAAGAGCAGGAGTATCGCCACGATGAAGAAAATGTATTTGCATTAAAGCAGCAAAAAATAGCTGAACAGAAAGCAAAGTTTCCTGAACACAAGTATGCTTCAGAATATCTGAAGCACCTTAACATCTCCAAGAGATGGGCAGATTCCTGATATGTGTCCTTTGCCATTCTAATGGATTTTATGGATTCAGTGGGCTTGCTTTTGGGGACAATGAAACAGTGCCACAAAGTCAATAAATATATTCTTATTTTCAATCAGCTATTGGCTTCATAAATACAAAAGCTTTTCTACTAATATGCACGCTTTTTTTTCCTTTCAGGGTTTAGTACTATTGTTATAAAAAGGATTTGAGCTCTTTTTCTTAAGAAAAATATTAGTGATGCATTAACCTACCCTTATGTTTAACCTACCTATTCAGTTAACCTACCTATCCCTAAAAGCTGACTTTGCCTCCTGCTATTTCCCATCCCTCTATCCCCTGGAAACTAAACCATGTATCTACCTTTGCATTCAGAGGCAAACCCCACAAAAACCTTAATATGTTCTCAGCAAAGAGAACATTCCCACTTCATCCATTTTACAGTATACTATATAGCAATGGTTCTCAATCTGTGATGTTATCACAGAGGATCTGCGAAGGCTTCAAGAAATGTTACGATTTAACTCTTAAATCTTGAGAATCTGGCCACAAAGAGTATTTAAAGGGTGTGGAGTGAAGAACCATTGGTATAAAATCAAGCTTGCTGTTTGGAAGAAATTTTGATTTAGGATAGTCGCCCGATTGAAAGAGTTTTTAATGGATGGTTCAAGCAAGTGTAGATAGTTGCCAGTGGTACAGGCTCAGTTAACATCTTATTTAGAGTATGTTAAGGTTGCCCTTGAAATGTGTTAGGAATAGAAAAGAATAGAAAAGACACCAAATAATTTTAAGATTTTAATCATCAATTAATGAGTGTTGTCTTAATTGAATTAAGTGGAAGAGATTTGCTTTTAAGAATCCCCAGACAGTGCATAAAATGACTGAGACATTTTCCATTTCAATAGAGGCTAAATGCATTTTAATGCCTTTCCTCTTTTTATGTCCCTACTCATTTATGATAATACAAAATAAATAACAGATCAAAATATAGCAGAAAGCCTGTTCCCAAGTTATTTATTTTCTTATGCATTCATTATGTCATAACACATTAATGTATCATCAATTTGGCAAAGGAGGGCTTAAAGATTATGCTTTTTAAAAACAAGTTATAATTAAGACATGATCTCTACTTTGATATACAAAAGTCAAACATGACTGAAAATTAATTACACTGGTGGAAAATATACGTGAAGATATTACAAGGTGCAGTTAAAAATAAGAAAATTTCAGGCAAAGTGATCTCTCTTACATAGTTCATTTATAAAAGCCCATTTAAAAAGTCTTTATTAAATTATTAGTGGCAATATGCTTTTTCTGTGCATAGGAATACTATCTGCAACATAAAGAACAGATGCATCATTCACATTATGTATCCTCTTAAGTATCCTCATACCATTTTAGATTTGAATAGTTGCAAGCCTACTACTAGAACAGAGATAAGTAAAATATCTGCATACACTTTGTCATAATAACAGTGCAATATATCTGATGTACCCACTGGTATATAGCACAGGTTGTGGCAATTTTAGCCAAACTATGAATGCCATTCTTATGGCCATTAATTTATACTGGGGGGAAATGACATAGTGGATAGCACGTCCATAATACCCTATAATGTGCAGCCTTGAGCCATATAGTAGTTACGTTCACAAAATAAGTAGAGCTTCCAGGTAAATACATTTAGGATTAAGGTAAAAGACCACAATCCTTAAACCACTTTCTGAAGCTTCCTTCATTAATTTAAGAATCCTGGGAGTTATTAGGATTGCAGTAGAATATAAGATGTCTAATAGTTTATCAGTTCTTTGGTACCAGGAAACAAAAATGCTATCTCAACATATGATCAAAATATGAGCCATTAATTGCTATTCAATCTTCCAAAATACATTTTCAGTAATTTATTTTGTAAACATGGACAGTCTCATTCTATTACAATTTTCAAGTATAATCTGGAAAATACACATTGGATTTTAAGACTAAACCTGCTTTTATAATACAGGTGTATAAGATACATTTTTGGTAGCTATGATCTAAATGAAATTGTATATTGTAAATAGTGTCATTTACATTGCTTAGACCATGTCGCTACATTAATAGAAAATTACAAAAATAACTGCTAGGACATTTCTCCAACACAGGATGCCAGAGATCTGTTTAATCAAGTGCTGTTTTTAAGCCTTTTCTATTAATTACAATTCCTTGGAATAAGAAATCGTAATTACTAGAAAATACTTGTCTTATTTAAAACTGCAGCATAAAATCTAATTTATAATAGCAGCCAGTAAATCAAGTCGTATGTTTGTAGAACTAAACTTAAACAATAATTGGGAAGGGACTTCCTAAGGCAACCAAGAATCTATGCTTACAATATGCAAGCTATAATTCTCCAAATGAATGTACATAAAATGTTTCCAATTATACCATTACACGTTAATTAGCAAAATGCTTTGATAAAGCACTTAAATAAAATCTACACATCTTCCAATATAATCAGCATGAAATATCATACTCTTTGGTATAATTTAATAAGATAGTCTACCTGTTAGTTACAGTTCAGTATTATAAACACTTTTGTTTCTGACCCAACATATAGTTGGTTTCACTAGTCACTGTTGGAATTTTTTCAGTGGCTTAATGATTGCAATAATATTGCCAGCATAGTTTTAAATTTACTCCTAATTATTACTAGAAATCCAATGCCAAACAAATAAGCGCATGTATATTTTTATATATACTTTACTCAGACAACCCTGTTATCCATTTTCACTGATGCATTTGAATTTTTACTTATCTTTTAAGAAAACTTTTGCTGTAGTCAAGTTATTGGTGTAATGGTACATGGGAATGACTTTGGGAGATGGGAAGAGCCACAGCCAGGGAAATGGTTGGACAAAAGCCAGCTTAGCCTATGGGAGCAATGTGAGTATGGCAAATATCTCAGAAGGGACCCTCTTTTCTAGTTTCCTGGAGGAAAAAGGCAACAGCAGAGACATACACTTTTAGAGCTGCAAGATTGATGTCAGCATTGCAAGATAGTCCAGGAAGGAAGCACACCCAGATGAGCTAAATGTAAACCTCATAAGGATGGCATTAGGCTTGCAAAATATATTTCTCCCTTGTCATCTTTAAGGTCCAAGAAACTACAGAGGGTCCCTTCTGAGACTGCCACATCCACACTGCTTCCATGGTCTAAACTGCTGTTTATCCAACTGTTCCCCCAGCTGTGGCTCTTCCCCTGTCTCCCAAGATCCTTCCCATATCATTACAATTAGCTTGCAATAACTGATCTTTCCTACGTACCAAATAATTTAAGGGATAATGTATTTGCTGTAGCTTGTAGTGGATTTGCAGAATTTGTACTGTGCTCTTAACAGTCTGACTTCCTTTTATTTTCTCCTCCCTATATCTAGATGTACTAGATAGCACTACTTCATAGCACTGAACCACATGATTTGACCAAGAGGGCAATGAGAACTTGAGCCTAACGTGAGCTGTAAAGATAGGATGCAGCACTGAGTCACAAAAACTGCACAATGTATTTTATTCTCATTTTAGAAATTAATTTGGAAAAGCCAAATATGCATATATTTTGCATTTTATTCTAGTTCCTGTTGTTTAAAATACTCAAAATCAGTTTTTTAAAATATATCACTTGTACAAATTTTGTTTTATGGATTGAAATAGGAAATGTAGAACAGTTGATATACAACCGATGGTAATAGATTTAAAAGTATATATCAGGACAGGAACCCTTATACAACCACAGGATTTGTGGGAAAGGAAATGCATGCATGCAATTTTTGTCAGAGTCAAGCATCCAATGTCTTGCTACCTTCTAACAGATTAAGATAAGCATTTACTGTTGTACTGAAATTATACATCAATACTTATTGTTAAAAGACAGGACTGGATCCAGGATCAGAGAGAGAGAGAAAAGATGGGGAATTTGAACAATGGAAGCAGATGGCTGTGAACAAGGTCCCCTTTCCCCAGTTCCTTCCCTAGTTCACTCAATGTTCCTAGTACAGAGAGTTATGAAATCCAATCCCAGAACAACACGTTCATACCGGCTTATTTTCTATTTAAAAAAAGCAAGAACAGAAAGAAAAAGAATGATTTCTGTTCATGGCTGAATAACCTGCAGACTTCAGGAAGAATATGTATATTGGGGACATCGGGCAAAAATGCTTACAGATAAAATTCACAATTATTAAATATTCTAAAACGGGGAGGGAGAACATCACTTTTCCATGTTTCAAGGAATTAAAATGTTAGGTTTCTTAAAAATAATGACAAAAATTGCTCAGGAAAATAATTTTCTCAATTAGTGCTTCAGATTGCCAGTGAGCCGAGAAGAAAACCTTGCTTCTTTAATACTGTATTGCAACCAAACAAGTCTGGAAAAAAAAGGACTTCAATGATCAGAGAAAGTTAGAAAGTCATAGTTTTCGATTGGCTGCTTCACAACACCTCTACCATTACTACTGGTTAACTCATGATGGTTATGGGGGGGGGGGAACAAAAAAGTACCAAATACCAATAGCCCACCAGATGATGATTGAGCCACATATATTGTGGAATTTTAATGGTGAAATGCTATAGTAAACTATATTACTACCCTTTCCTACCCCACAGAACTGTTAATGAAAGTAATGACACCAGCATGGCATTGCTTCACACATGAAGTTTGCAGAATCAGTCACTACCACAGTGCAGCTGGAATGCATAGTTTCTGCACTTCTAAGTCTTGCGGACCTTTGCAGGGCATTTTGAGAATTTGGCCCTTGTAAGAGCTTATGTCCATGTTGCAAAAATGCACATCACGAATCTTAAGGCATCAGACTTTTCTGCACTGGAAGTGCTTATAAGCATCCACTGGATACCATCAACAAGCTCGTTCTCCATATCTTGTTAACATGCTGGAATCGTTCCATTGATTTATTGGTGTCTTCCTTAAAAAAATAACATCCAAGCACAAATGTATTGTAGAAATCTATTTGGAAAACAAACCGTAGAAGTATTGTATTGAATAAAGATAAGTAAAGGCAAGTAAAAACATGGCTAATTCTGCTGATTCTGAAAACTGATTTCTCTGCTATGAATGGCTGAATATAAGAAAAACTTTCCAGAAAAGATACTAAAGCACTTATGAAATCTGGGCTGCCACTTGCTTTGCTGAATCAGCTTTTTCTTGCCAAACTAACTGTTGTTTTACAAATTATTACTATTTTTTATACAGAAGAGGTTTCTACTCTGTCAATGCTTTGCAAATCTTCCATTTTCTCTGGAGTTTTTTTTATCTGTCTTTTGAATTTAGCCTGCAACTTGATGAAATCTGTCTATGTTTTGGGAAAAGATCCACCATGAGATGTTTAGTATCAATACTGGAAATATTTTTTCTGTATTTCAGACAAATGTGGATTTAAAGCAGCATTTGGCCTTATTTCATACATTTATATTCATTTCTTTTGAAGAACAGAATTAAAAACTGCTAAATTTGGAAGCAGCTCAAATTAAATTAATGCTTAATATGGTAACCCTGTGGGTTGTAGTTTTAAAAATAAGGTAACATAAAAATATGCAAAGTAAGCAGAAAACATTTTATTATTAAGTGCTACTCAAGGTCAGCCTATATGGTGTGGTCCATGTTTTCTTTCCTCTTTACATAAAAGATTTTGGAATCAGTCATATTATTGACTTTTCTGAGTATATATTTTCTTACCATTTCTCCTTCTCTGAAAGAAATGGATACTGAGATAAGATCAACTCTCCAATGAAACTATAATATGTTTTTTTACACCTGAAAATGAAAAAGATGAATCTGTTTTAGAGGTTTTACACATATGAAACAAAGGAGGACACAATTTACTACTTAGTTGTGCATTCTTTGCTGATAATCACTGTCTCCTATGCCAGGTGTTTTAATTATTTTAATAGTGGCTGTTTATATTTTAAATAATGACTGTTTTTATGCATTTATTGTTTTAATTGTAGTATGCTTCTGAGAATCTTTTATGAGATGGGCAGCCATATAAATTTGATAGATCCTCTCCAGATATTTGTCATCAACAGGAATTGTGAAATCCTTCTCCCAGATGGCTGCTGCCCAATAGGAAGAGTTTTCTCTCCTGCTGATGATCTGCAGTTTTTGTTGCGAAAGCAGGTTCTTTGGCAGTGTTGGTCCCTGGATTTAAATGGGGGCACTTAGGAATGACCCAAAATGGCTTTTGGATGGCTGTGGACCCACCTAGGAGGGGGGAATCTTGAAGATTGCAGTTCCCTGTGGGCGCCGCCGGAAAGGGATTGGTCTTTTATCCAACTTTTCCTATCAGCAGACAGTTCTCATAAGCAAACCTGGGTTTTAACTTCACTTTGCTTTGTTTTTTATCTTAAAAAGTTAACTGGCTTGCTGAATGCTGATTTATTTCAACCCTCTGCTGGATTTTATCTCTTCTTCTTTGTTTTTTTTCCTTTGATCTATTTGGTTGTTTTCATTAACTTCAGCTTTTCCATAAGGAAACATGGCCTTTCTTTGCATAGTGAAAATGCTTTTACTTGATTTACATTTTTATTGGACGTTCACTACAGGGATTTTGTATTTTATGAAGTTTGGAGTTTATTTTTCTTAATCTTTTTTAACATTCTGTTCTTTTGTCTTTTTCCTGTTCCGCTCTGAAGAACTCTTTCCTACCACATTGAGCAACAATGAATTGGATTACAGACAAGGGAAGGAGGGTGACACTCAAGAAAAGACTGCTTGGCAACATGCAATTCTTAGCTGAAAGCTTTTTTAAAAAGTTTGAACTCATAATGACAGTGGAAAACATCCAGAGGTAAGTGACTGTAAATAAACCCACAAAAGGAATATGATTTCAAAGCAGGAGATTTGCTGGGAAGAAGTATGAACTCAGAATTAGAAATAACAGAGTTGACGCCATATGCCCATGAAGCTCAAGCCTGCACTTTTATATAACAGTAGAAAACGGTCTGGGTGGGTAACTTGTAAATTGGTCTTTTTTAAGTGGAATGAAGGAGGTTGGGAAATGTATTTATCACATTTAACTAAGGAACCATTTCATCTGAACATTTTTGGGAAGACAGACTGGCTTTAGAGATTGGACTTATTGTATTTAAGCAGACAACAATTGATAAGGGATGGTATTAAGATTGGATCAATCAGGGTTAATTTTTGGAACGATTTGGGATAGTTAAGCCATAGTAAATTTTCTACGAGTTGATTACAATAACAGTTCATTAACAGAGGGGTTTTGGAATTTTGTCTTTTTTTATTATTACCGTTCTTCCTGTTAAATATTTTGTTATTAATATTGCATACAGATGACAGGTTAACAACTTGTAAATAGAATTAATAGTTTAAAATTCTTTGGGCCTATTTTAAAAGGGGTGGGAAACTAATATAGTTGTAATATATTAATGAGCATTCAACTAGGAAGGATAATATGTGTATATGTGTTAGTCTTTTTAATGCACATTTTTCTTTTTAATGTCTTGTTTTCTTTTTTTAAATTTATTTTGGGGGGGTACTTTGTATTTTAACTTTTTTTTGAATAAAATAAAAATAGATTTAGAAAAATAAAGGAATTGTGAAATCCTGCTCTGTAGCAAGCTACCTTAATTATGCATACCTGATTTAACAGCTTCATCTTCTGAACTGACCTCTACCCACTGGTTATCACCGGCGAGCAATCGATTTTGAGACTCACTGAGTGGCCTAGTAGGAAATGGCTGACTAGTAGAAGAGCTGAAAAATAAAATTTCTGTTAAGAGAGAATGGATCCCCACAAAAGTTCACTCTTGCAACTCTTCATGAAATATGTTTAGAATTTCATTCTGTTGCTTCTAATTATGTACTCCTATCATCCAACAGGTCTGGGCTGCAAGACTTGAATGTTTTTAGATTTTTCTTTTTTAAAGAGTCGCTGCTGTCATATAATCAGATTTTCAAAGCTCAGATTTGTAGCCATAACTACTGTGTAACATTCATGTTTAGTCTAAAGAAAAACAACTCTAAATTTATAAGAAAGCCCCACAAGCAAAATTTGATTTTTTAAATGATCATAAATATAATACCCAGACACCTTGCTTTATTTTGCCAAGCAGGATTACTAACTTCTGTTAAAAGCAATCTTGGAAATTGTTCCTCCAGCAAATAGCTAAAGGTGTTCAGAGGCTACCTGTCAGGGATTTTTTTAATTTGGATATTTATTGGACTCAAATGACTTAAAAATGCTACTTTCAAACGCTGAAATAAAGCAGCTAGAAACCTTTTAGTTTCTAATTTCTCCACTTGGACATCAAAAACAGGTGGCAAGAATCCAATCTAGGGCTCAGCAAACTTCAGAGAACAATGAAATACAAAGTCGAGGAAAAGTAATCCAAAGGATTTTCTACACATTTTCAGTTAAAACAATTTGACTGAATAAGAGTTTCCAATACACCCCCATTTATTTATTTATTTATTTATTTGATCTGCCAATCAGCAAGAAATTTAATGTACAATTATAATAAAGCTAAAAATAAAGCTAAAAAAATAAAAAAGGAATACAAACAATAGAACAAAATTAATTGAGATATCCCATATAATGTCAGCCTAGTCCAGAAATGTAACTAGATTAATTCTATTTTATTGTAAGATTACATTAATAGGATCTTGCAAGTTTGAAAGTACATCCCCACCCCCTGCATTTACAACCCAAGAAACTAGGGAGTGTTCCTTCTAAGACATTTACTACACCCACATTCCTTTTGTGCGCTTAGCTGCCTCTTGTCTGACCATTCCCCTGGCTGTGGCTCTTCCCCCTGCCTCCCAAGGCCATTTGCACATACCGTTAAAGATAGGCACTTTTGCCTGCTTCTATTTTTAATATCTTGCAGATAGCCATCAACTGGAAGTGGGGGAGGGGTCACTTCTGATCCTTCGGAGACTGTTCTGTAGCACTGGCCCAGCCAATGATAAACAGCATCTGCAAACTTCAGCCCCCTGCATTCTGGGAAAATGGAGGATCAACAGCAGTTTCTCTTTACTGCTGAAATGGTGCCATTAGATTGAGATAAAAGATAATCCTATTTCCCCATGGTAGAGGCAGGGACGAGAGGACTGGTTCCTGTTGCAGGAGATGGCTATTTTGAAGTTCTCCTTGTTTTGGAGAACATGCATAACTACACAAGCTCTTCCCTCCATCTCAAAAATCATAAGATGTTTTTGCTCATTTTTACTTTTTTAAACCTACTTTTCCTTTCTTTTGCTTTTTAGATACCTTCTTGGGAACCTTTTGCATAGCCCAAAAAAATCAGTGATAGATTTCTCTGAGGACCTCTGGCACACAAGGGCAAGAGGAGTTAAGCCACCAACCCGTAACAACGAATACCCTCAGTTCTCTTCCACAATTCTCCGAGGAGGTGTGATAAATGCTGCTACAGTTCTTGAATTGCTGGCCTCTCAATGGAATGACACTTTTCAAGCTTCTATAGTGATTTCCTCAGGTAATATTCCATCTTAAAACTCTAGCTACTTTTCATTACCCAGTCATGAACATCCAGTCAGGCTGCAGCTTTGAACATCTTCACCTACAACCAGACACCCCCAGTTTTCGCTATTCGCACATATGTTGATGTGACAATCCTTTTACAGATGGGTTAGAAAAAAAGGAAGTTTTTATTATCAGTTTTCACTGCCCAAGTCCTGGCTTTCTTAGAGGCAGACCTTGACAGGGATAACAATCAAGCATCGTCCACAGACAAGTGCCAGCCCTCTCCTGAGCCCAGGAGTCGGCAACCTTGACTCTTTTATGACTTGTGGACTTCAAACTCCCAGAATTCCTAAGCCAGCATGGCTAAACATGGAAACCTCTGCCTTTCCCCTCAGCATGGCTGGCTCAGGAATTCTGGGAGTTGAAGTCCACGAGTCATAAAAGAGCCAAGGTTGCCTACCCCTGCCTTAGCCTTAGAATCAGGCAGCAATGATCCTTTCTCAATCTATTCACATGACAAAAGATTTATAAAACAGACCTCTCTACTGCAACCAGAAATTTAAAAGCCTTGTTTGGAATACCTGATTTGGAATATGGTGTTCTCAATACTAGTAATATCTGACAAATATCAAATAGATATATATTGGGAAGAAAGAATAACCTTGAGAAGCAGAAGGGACAACTGCAACAAAGGCAATGGCCAAATAAAATAAATCTGAGTCTGGACCAGAAACGTAGTTTGAGAAAGCATCTCAGAGAAGATTCTCACTAAGATAAAGGAAAGGGGGAGGGAGGGAGTATAGTCAGACTTGCATGATTCTGTTACAGTGATTTTACAATAAAAGTAGTATTAACATTTATTACTTTGGTTTCCTAGTCTGGTCTACTTTAAAGAGCTGATAACCACACATTGTTTGCCAAAAGAGAATTCTGCACAATCCAGTCAGACATCATCAGTCTGCACCTAGACTTGAACTTCATGACTCAGATGAATTTGGTTTTTGCACTGATGCCAGGTGGCAATCTTCTCTTTTTTTCTGCCCTATCCCAGACAGCTGAAGAGGAGGAACAGATTTCAATCTCTTAGTTTCCGTAGACAGCCCAACTGGCCTGTAAAGCTTCCTTTAGCACATATCTTCAGGCAGAATAAGCTCAAAGTCTACTTCCTGAGCACTTAGCCTGCCCAGGCATTTTCAGAAAAAAGGCAGAGGTATCTATGGAGTGGCCCATCAATATCTGCAACCTGTACAGAATCTAACGTATCTATCCTGTATTCTTACCAACTCTGGTTTTGTTTGTATGACCAAATCACTGTGAGAGAGTGATTTCCCTCCACAGAAATCCATACCACAATCCTTATTAGCTGTGTCTGAAGAGAGTAGGATTCCCACATCAGAATTTCTCTCTCTGCTGTAGAATAAGAAACTTCACAATCAGTCCAATATGCTGTTTCAGACAAAGGGATGATGCTGGGAAAGCAAACTGAAGAGTTCCATGCCAGGCTTCTTCACATATGTTACACTATGCATTAAGTCTCTTACATATTCTCATTGCAACTAGGTTTGAAACTATTTGCTGATGAGATAAAAATTGTCACCTGTGCGTGCAACAGCAGATTTCTGTGTACCTATGTAGAAAGCACTGCACACACCTTTTAACAGTTTCATTTTGGCTTGAGACAGCGAGCTGCTCAGGATCCATAATCACCAGGCGTGTTGGAAAGTTGCAACCATCTCCTAAGCTGCACAGTATAATAAACAGGACAGAACAAATATTTCATTAGCTTGCTGAATACACACAACAGAAACATATATACAACTTAAGTTTTAAAACATCACATTAAGTGGAAGAGTGGTACATAGACCATGAACATATCATATCCAGCACCAAGTATTGTACCTGTGGCAAGAAAGAGTTTATTGTAGTTGCATGTAGCTTTCAGAGAACATTACCGATTATTTGATATTAATAATTTGTCTGCAAATGTCAAAAGATGGCATCTAAAAAAAAATGGAATGTTCCTAAGCTGCTTTTCAGATCAGGAATGTCTGAACGGTACATTCTTGCAATCTTATCAGTACATTCCTAGTGCAGTCTATGTAATTCCAGAGTACACTAAGTTTTTCATTGCTTAACTTTCTGGACCAAACCATTCTGAACCATTTACAATTTTTTAATAAAGTCTTTTAGATATTGCTAAAGAAATTATTCATGGAGGAAATCTATGTATGTGGTCACTAGGAGTTGAAAATTACTTGATGGCACATTGTCAATCAAAAGAAATTGTAACTGGCTAATTGGACTACTGACTTCATCAAGTACAATAGGCCACCTAATGAGAAGGAAGGACTCACTGGAAAAGGGCCTGATGCTGGGAAAGATTGAGGGCAATAGAAGAAGGGGACGACAGAGAATGAGGTGGCTGGATGGAGTCACTGAAGCAGTAGGCGTGAACTGAAATGGACTCCAGAAGATGGTAGAGGACAGGAAGACCTGGAGGAACGTTGTCCATGGGGTCGCGATGGGTCGGACACGACTTCGCAATTAACAACAACAACAAATAATGGCAATGTTTTTCCAAGTATATTAGCACGATTCTTCCATTAGAAATTCATATCCAAAATAACTTTTTTATTTTTAATTTAATTTGATAAAATTTGCAAATCCAGTAGACTTTAGTAAATAAACAAGGTATTTCTATGCTGAATTTCTAAGAAATAACTGCACAAATACTAATATTTGACTCTATGAATCTTTCTCTCTCTCTCTCTCTTTCTTGATTAAGAAAATGTTTTATGGGAAGAACAAATCCCTAGGTTTTTTTGTATAAATAATTTAAATAATGGCTATTAAGTGATAAAGAAGGAAAGGAGATGTTTTAATTTCTTGATTTCAGCTTCATCACTGTCCATGTATTCTGTCTTCAGTCTTTATAGAATGCAAGCAATCAAGTTAAAAATTATTATGGCCACAATAAGAAAGTTGTTATTTTACTATTATTTATTTGATTTCTATGGCTACCCATCTCAACAAATGATTGTTAGAATTCCTCTGATAACCATGGCAGGATCCATTTCAAAGTAGTTTCCTTCCATTTTCTGTATTCAAGTTGGTAAGGCATATTTGGAAGAAATTAAAGGGAAGCATTAATTTTAAATCCTACTCACATGGCAGACTTATATTCTTGTATAAATTACTTTGAAATCTGTGTTTGAATATTTTGGGGGGGTTTGGAAGCCATGAGCAAGCAGAGGTATTAACACCTGAATTCTTGAAAAGGAATTTGGGCCGTTCAAAATTACAACAAGGCAGTATATTTAATAAATACCTTTTGAATTCACTGGTCTACATGCATTAGCAGCAACTAAAATACCTACGTTATTGTCAGTGCTTTGTATGATTAAAAGGTGAGACTAATTCAGCAAAAAATAGTGTTTGAAGTTTAATGACCTACTCAGAATATTTAAGAAGTGGATGTCGACTTCACTATGCACTAATTATAATACAGTCAGTCCTCAGGCTATGACTGCAATTCGGACCAGAATTTTTGTTGCTTAGTGATGCAGTCGTAAGGTACAATGTCATACGATCACATTGCCTATCAACAGCAATCTGTGTGGGTTGTTAAGTAGAAAGAGATGAGCGTTCCACACGAGCAGGCTAGTTACTGTATGGATGCTAGAGTGCTGCAAGTGGGCACTCTGAAGTGTAGGAAGGTGTGCGGTGCTGAGAAAAAGGTACTCTAGAACATGAGTGGGTGTGCAACTGCAGAGTGTCAACGCTGCAAATACTGTATATTCTTGCTTTGACAATATGCAGAACTGTCTGGTATTTATATAGTTAAACCAGCAACTGGGAAAGAGGGAGGAGCATAAGGATAGCCCGGGAGAAAGAAACCGGAAGTAAATCACATCTTCCAAGTTGATTGGAAGATGTGAACCATGACCCTACAATAAGGGAGTGGGAAATGCTTGGAATGTATATGCGTAACGGAAGAGAAGCCAGACCTAAGTATTTCCACCATGCTGTACTGACGTCTCTGTAACCTTAATAAATGCTTTTAGGAAAAAATATGCCTGAAAGTCCTTTTAAGTGTTTCGTTAATCAGACACATGACACAGAGGGTGGGGAGCCCTGAAGGCAAGTGCTACTGAGTGCAGGAGGGTAGATGTGTACTGTGGGCCAACACTATGGTGTATGTCAACTTCCAACTTCTGCCTGTTTCTCCACTGACTTTGTTTGTAGGAAGCTGGCAGGAAATGTAGGAAATTGTGATCACCTGACTGTGGCTCACTGCAACATTGTAATCAGAAGCCAAGCACTGGATGCCTGGATTGCGATCATCTGATCACAGGGATGCTGCAGTGGTAGTAAAAATGATAGTAAATCCCCTTCATTCAGTGCTGTCGCAATTTTGAATGGTCACTGAACAAGTGGTCACAATCCAAGGATTACCTGTATGGCTAAGAGTAATCATAAGCCACCATTTTGGTTTAATATCAGTAAGTGTGTTAATTTAAAACGCTATATCAATCTTTAATTCTGGTCACAGTCCAGAATATATAGTAGTATAAGATTAATATTTAAAGATTTATATACCTCTGAATTCTATACCTAAAATTTAGAATTTATAAGTAAAATATATAAATGACAGTACCTTGTAAAAATAGGGAGCAGCCAGTATTTTTTTTCATCTCCAAAAACCTCTCTTAGGTTTTTTTGACATCCAAGAGAGAAGCCATTTTTGTCAGGCCCATTTCGAAACATTGGTGCCCGGAAAGCTTCTATATCACACATAAAGGAAAACAAATTCATCAGTTTAGGAAAGTGAAAATGTCTTCCAAAGCGAAATATTAAGAATAACAGAATAAACAGAATAAAGCAGATTGAGTCATCTCTCATGAAAATAATGTCATTTGCAAGGCTGTAAAACATGTTACAGCTCTTAAACTAAAAATTGTTTCAGATACAAATATACATCATTTTTTTTCTTTTGTTCAGACCATTATAAAAACTAAAAAAAAAGAACAAGAGAAGGAACTAATATTTTATAACACTATCATTTGTCTAGAACAGTATTTCTCAACCTTGACAATTTTAAGGCATGTGGACTTCAACTCCCAGAATTCCACAGCCAGCAATGCTGGCTGTGGAATTCTGGGAGTTGAAGTCCACGTGCCTTAAAATTGTTAAGGTTGAGAAACACTGGTCTAGCTAAACAAGATTGTACAATATTTATTTTGGTCAGCAATTAAAAAACACAATTTTCCTTCCAAATCCTTTGCAATTATTAATATTACTTTCTTCATATAGAGTAAGCTACTTTGTTATAATTTTCATTTTGTGTAATCTAGAAGCATGCGTGGTTAAGCTCAGAATATACAGAAATTCTTATTTATTTCCCTATACACTCAATGGGTGTATAGTATATAACAGGCATGTCAGACATCGCACGACATATAGGAACTTTCCCCCCCATTGCCGGCAATGGGGTGAGCGCGGTTTCGGCGTGACGCATCCGGCCCACGGGCTGGCAGTTTGACATGCCTGGTATATAACAAAGAGATTGTGGCCTGGTATCAATAGGGAGATATTTTCTTTCCACAAAAGTTTCTGTAGCTGGAAATAAATCCTATCATCATGATTCCCATTTCCTTTATTCATTTTCTTAGCTATATTAAGTTTAGTTTGGTAAGAAAAGAAACAGGAATCTAACCTTTGCTGACAGAAGATTGTAAAATATAAAGAAACTTACTTGGGCCTAGTTGTATGCAAATATGATCAGATATTAAACTTACAGGGTAACCTTGGGTCAGATACAATTTTCAACATAAACGTAGTTCACAGAGTTATTGTGAAAATGAGTTGAAGAACCTTGAGCTGCTTGGTCAATGGATGGGGTAGGAACTAAATAATAACAGAAATAATAATAAGAATCCCTGTAATTTACTAACCAATTGTTGATCTGTTTTTACCAACTAGCCAGCAGTGGTAACTAAACAATGACAGTATGCTGATGAAGAACATAGCAGCCACAAAGAAAAGGAAAAGAACATGGAATTTTGCACGGGTGTCTGGTAGTTCGTTCTGAGAAGAAAAAGAAAATAACTCTATTAATGCATTTTCATCGATTTCCTGTTCAAATGCTATTTTCTTATAAAGATTTTATTCTGAATTAAAATAAATAATATGAATTCATGTACAGCAACCAACACTTATATGTGAATTTGACAACATACAATGTATTTCTTTGTGGTCATAACTTTCACAACTAATAGACAAAAGTCATTGAACTGGAAAAGTTAACAACTGACTGCCAACTAGTCAAATCAGGAGGAAAACAAATATTGTTCAAATTCATCTTGTTAAATTTGACATTAAGAAAGGATAGAAGAGCTGAAAAATTTGCAAGATGGACTAATTAATGATTAGCAAGGGAATAGTAGTTGTGCTAGATGAAATAAGAAAGATTTAAGCAATATTTTCGTTAAGGAAGAAAAGAATGATTAAAAATATACCTGTGAATGATGCATTTAAGAAATTTAAGGAAACTTCTTGAAAATACAAGACTTTAAGGCAGGAATCCTTCGACTCCTCAGAAGATTTTTCAGGATTAACTCCACTAAGGGAAAAAGTAACTCTATCTATAGAAGAGAAGGCTGACTTTCAGACCGTACTTGCAATAAGTATGGAAACCTTTGCAGCTGATATTTATTTAGCAGTGGCAAGATCTGAAAAAAGAGGCAATCCAATGCAACACTTGGATCTGCAGAACCCATGGTATTTCCAATCCCCAACACACTCCAAACCATGTCAATTTCAGCTAATGTTGATTAATGCCTTCTCTTGAAATCAATTTAAAGATTAATTTGGTGTTAAGAAAATGGCTGTGTATTAGGTGCAGACAAGCAACACTGCAGCATTTTTCTCCTTCGCCCAGTATAATCTTGAGAGAGAATCAGAGAAATATTGATCCATATGCTAATTAAATCAAGTAAAAGAAGGAAGTACTCCACTTTGTTTTTCTTTTAACTGGAACATGTCTGTGTGATAATTTTTATTTACTGTCTTAATATTTTTTAAAAAAATATGTTAATGTTATATTATTGATTGATATGGATAGTCACTTTAAGGGATACACAAATGTTTAAAATAAAAAAATGTATATTTTTGACTACAGATGTGGGAAGTAAGCCAACTTTTTCCACTTTCAGCCTACACTAGAACAACAGTTCTTAAAAGCCCACAAAGCACTGTCTAAGAAGGGGAACAAAAGGCTACCATTTTTTGAGCTACTGCCCTTCTTCCCCAAATAAAGTGACTTCAGAAAGCATGAGTCTAGTTTTGTTCAGTGAAGACTCTTTTGGCAGTGAACAAAGAGTTCAAGGAATCTGATATTGATGGTTCAGGAAGGGCATAATCTAGGCTGGGAGAACAAGACCAAATTTCTAACAGGTTTTCCTCACCATGTAGTTCAAGGGAGGAAGACCTTCCTTTATTCTCTTTATGGTGATTATTTTTCTGTGTGCAGGTAGAAATGGGAAGAGAATCCCTGTGAGGAAAATATCCTGAGATCCTGAGATGGTATGAACTCGGAATCACATACTCTGAAGACATAGCAATGGCCTAACCAGAATAATCTCTTATTTGCAGAGGCTTGTTGCAAACATTTTGAAGGTTTAAACTATTCAAACAAGATTATTATACCTCATACATTTCAAAACAGCTTTGTATCATAACACAGAGTACACTGTAAGCAGATGAAAGGAAAAGAGAATACTTTGTAGATTTTAAAAATATTTTCCATATACTGAAGATTCATATGTTGAGTGAAAAGTGTTTTATTAATGTAGCACAATTTTTATATGCTCAAATTACTAAATACCTTATTAAATACTCAATAGCTTCATATTAAAAATTCAACAGCATGTTCCTTTTGAACAATGACAATACAACAGGGGACTGAAATTGCTTTATTAATAAAATATAGATAACATTAACATCATTTAATTTTCTGTCAATATATGCTACACTTCAGAGCACCAATTTCTCCCTCAGGCATTAAATAAAATACATATTGCTAATTATAAAGGACTAGAAATATTGTGTAATAATCTTGTAACTCACTATCAGAAATAAATGTACATAAGAACATACTAGCAGAGACTACTGCTTAAATTGCATTTTACCTTTGGACAATTCTCAGCAGATTTCCTGCGGCAAAGCTTTGTGCAAATAAAGACAATTTATTAAACAGCTATAAGCCCTTAAGACTAGTGTTCAGAAACAAATAAAAATGCTATTAGAAAATTCATGGTCTTTGCGTGCACAAGGTGTAAAGCGTGCAGTATTCAATGTCAAGAGGCTAATAGTTTACATTCACTGAATGAGTATGTGAAGATGAACTTGTGTTTGCATGAGATAAAGGAGTCACTGATTTTAATGGTGTATATTCAAGCCGCACCATTAAAATTAAGAGATCTATTCATTGGTCTCTCTAATTTTTATTATCTGAAGCCCAACTTGAAACTACCTCTACAACAGAAATCAACTAAGAAACTTACTGGTAATTTCTGTCTACATTCATCATAATTTGAACTAAAATTTGTTACCCAAATATGAATCAAAACATTTCAACAGTAGAATTTATTGAATTTTCTGACCCCTTAATCCAAATGGCCCCTGTACTTCTTCACTTCCTGGAAGAATATTTAGGGGGGGGAAAACTATTAATACAAACAAAAGACACATGCTCTGTCCAGTTTCTCCATCTTGTAATCTTAGTTGTCAACTTCAGTTGAAAACAGTCCTGGAAATTCCTTCCTGCTTATATGATATACATGTACAATAATACATGTACATATGGCAATCTTTTTAAATGTGTGCATATGAGCTGGAAGCAATATTCCAACAAAAAGCTATGACAAAAAATTTATAACATGAACTGGCATGAGCATGCAGAAGACTAACAGAGTGCATCCATAAACATCAATCAGAAGACATGATGAAAACACCTTATTCTCACAACATGGATAGACAATTATAGTTTCACCTGGGAAAATATGAGCATCCCAGACCATAATGCTAGGGAATGCCTTAAAGCTTGACATTCAGACAATTTAGCCATAAATAGAGATAAACCACATTTACACATTATTCAAAAAAACCCATAAAAAGAAGTAATTAAATATCTGCAAGCAAACAACCAAACTCAGAGACTACTAAGACTTTACAATAACATGAATTAATAATTGAGTAAGTTATATTGAAATGCTGAAATGTGCCATTTGACAAACAGAGTGAATTAAGAATATTTTTTGGAAAAAGAACAAATCATGGAAACAAGTATCAGATGCACACAGATATGCATACATACAACCTCCTACTCACTTTAGAAAATAAACTAAGTTGTTCTAAAAGGGAGATGGAGGGTCTCTCCAGGCAAACAGAGCTTCAGACAACAATCATGGTTCAGGATAGTCTTCAAAGGCATTGATGCTTGCCACAATCTCTGCAGCCATTTTCATTTCTTGGTTATTCCTTTATTTTCAACTGTTCTTATATATTTTTCAACGAACTTTAGCATATCCATACACTTTTCCAGGGATATCAGCTGAGGTTCTGCATACTTGTTCCAATGAAGCTAAGCCTGTGCATGATGCTCCAGGTGGCTCAAGTGCTGTCTTCTACAGCTTATTGCCATGTATGGTTAAGTGTGCATTGGGGGAACAGGTACTATCAGAAAAAAGTTGTCCCCTAAATCAGATAACATCCCTGTTCCCCTATTCACTGGTTACTGATCTTTTTTTAAAAAAACAAAAACAAAAACAAAAACAAAAAACCCTCCTCCTCTCAATTTAATAAGCTAATACTTAAATTAAATTAAAATATTTGATACTTAATGTGAAATGTTAAGGAAATATGATGAGCAATTTTGCTCAAAATTAATGCTACATAAAAAACAACCTTAGTCTGTGGATCCAGAAAAGCCACAGATCTTGTGCATCTATGGCTCTATTCCATATTATGTTTAATGATAAGCTCTGTCCTGTTCAAATCATTGGGCCAGTTGTCTTGGTCTAATGAAAGCAGGCAGTCCAAGTACATCAGGATATCTATAGATTTTTTCATCCTATTTTCCACAACAGTTAAGATTCATATTTTAGCCATAGTTTTGGCAAAATTAAGTGACCTGAAATGTTCCTATTTGGCAAACAGAGGGAATTAGGAATCTCTTAGAAGAAGTACAAATCATGGAGAGAAATTACACACATAGACACACACACACGTAATCACCAAATGATTATGCAACACACACACACACACACATATACACATACACACACACACGAACCAGCAAGGGGTTATGTAAAATACCCTATGGAATAACAAGTACCAAGCTGATTAAAACATTAACATGGCTCACCTATAAAATAAACTTCATAAATAAATAAATAATGTTAAACTATGGCTTACTATGGTTTTCTCACTAAGTCACAAAATAATAACACATCATAGTAAATAATAATATGCAGTTATGATCACAATGGCTGGTAAAAACAAACCATGTTATAACAGACAAAAGAAAGGAAGGAAGGAAGGAAGGAAGGTAGGAAGGAAGGAAGGAGGAAGGAAGAAAGGATCCTTGTTACCTAGATATTTAGTAATAACAAAATAAGTACAGTGTCAGAGAGAATGCTAGAGTTGAAAACGTACTCTCCAGGATTGAATCATTTAGTTCAGCCTCAATTAACTTCTCTCTCTTATTATGCTTTAATAAGACAAGGTATTGATATGCTAAGATTATTTTAGCACATATCACCTTTTATTTCAGTGGGCCATGCTGCAATATCCAGGAAGGATTTGGTTAATTACACTTTTCCATTATATGGAAATTGGGGAATTCCTTTTTCAAAGTTTGGAATGCATCAAGATCTTAAAATAAATTCAAGTCAAATTTCAAAATCAAACATGTCAAATTTCATTAAGAATCCTATTGTCTTGTAATTTCTCAGCTATGATTTAGTACAAAGTCTTCATTACTTGGCATGTACCACGACATGCCAAGACGAGGAAAGAAACTGCATGAATTGTACATCAGTTAGGCTACAAATGTCTGCATTTGCCTGAATCATGAAGAGATATCACAGGTATGGGCAGGTTAACAATAAATCACCCCTCGTGATTTGATTAGGTTTACCCTGAGTAAAATATATTTTTAATGCAAAAATGCATGTACAAGTTATTTTTATTACAAAAAGTTTTATTTTGTGCTTACTTACTGTATAAATTATTCACATTCAAATAATATCTTTCAGTGTATGCATGTTAAGCAATTCTTTTTCAAAACCACAATGCTGCTATTCCAAAGGTTTAAAGCAATATTAAAAACAATATGACTTATGAAGCCAGGCCATGCTATTCAACCAGAATGAAGATTAAAAATCAGGTTTATTTTGAAATTAGAAGAGGGCAATGTTGATATGAATGTCATACATATATAATGTGCTCTCTTAAAACATGCATGAAAAGCCAACATAAAATGTACGATCCACAAGATAGCAAATTCGGCTGCAGCAAACCAAAAATCATGTATTATATATAAAATTTAATTATTTAGTATTTTACTGCTTCACTCAGACTGATGACAGTTACGTAAACTATGACGCATGAAAGCATAATGCTTCTGTATTTTTTTTAAGTTTAAAACTTCTAATTTTAAAAAACTTACTGTCCAAAACTTTATGAAATACTGAAGAACCGTAGCAGCAACAAATAGACAATACAGGAGGGAATAAAATAAAAAGAGGAGAAAAAACTTGTAGTTGGAAAATCCCACGCAGTTATTCACCCTGGAAAAGGAAAAAGAAATAGCTTTTTTTTCCTTAAACAAATTATTGCAACCATGTTATAAATGGTCTCAAAAACAGTTGTTAAAGGAGTTGCCTGTATCCTCACAACATTACTATAAAGATCAGAGTCAGTTACTGTTTCCTAGAAAGCAAATTAAAGGAATTGCTGTTTGTCACCCTTCCAGAATATTTTCTAGTTCTTTAGCTTGTTTTTGCCTTTTTGGGTGTGTGTGTGAGGAAAAGAACAAAGAATTAAGAACAACTATGGACTTATATGGAATTCAAGATTACTCCTGAAGATGAAAATGGTAGTAAAGACTGATTTTAATGTTTATTTTATTTTTTAAAAAATAAAATAAAAACAAAAATCAGATTGTCTGATTGTTGTTTTCCAGAGAAGACTCTTATGCGTTTAGTATGAGAGGACTCTGATGCTTTGGGTATGACTCTACTAAAAGCATAAATTTTGCATTGCAGCACATTTTATTTCCTTTAATTTATATAGCCTCCCACCTCATTGTAATGACTCAGGGTGGCTAACAATAAAAAAAACACAACATTAACAACAAGGTAACAAAAAATACATAATTGACAGCAGACATAAAACCACAAACCATTTTCCATTCTTCTCCTACTTTGGGGGGACAGGATTATAAGTATAAAAAATTATGTTATACCTATCATTTGGGTTTTTTTCCTTCTCAATGCAGCAAGAAATCATGCTGCTTTTTCCTATTAGTCAGCATTAGGATAGTTATTGGGGGCATCACATTTTTTTTCTTTTAACGACCCTGTAATCCCTTGCATCTGAGTGGAATTGGGGCAACTGAATGGAGCTGAGCGTCTACTAGCCGGATGCCCTTGACGCTTATGCTGAGTTCTCAGCAGACAATTACTCATTACGCCCAGAGAGAGAAATATATGTCCCTACCTAGGATCGAACTCACAGCCTCTTGATTGTGAGGCGAGAGCTCCATCTCTAGGCCACTGCACCATTCTATTGGGGGCATTACAATAAAGGGGTTAAAGTCCAAAGATGACCTTCGGGATCCCTATCTTCCTTCTAGTTATCCTATAACAACTAAAAACAGAACAGTAATATGTATTTATCAAATACTGCTAACAATATAACCATTTGGCCTTGTTCTTACCTATGTTTAAAAATAAAGCTTCCATTAATTTAATGAATCATGAGTGACCATTTACAGACCATTTACAAACTAGTGATTTAATTAAAGCATCTTCAGAGCATTACTTAGCTATCCTTGAAGCATATAAAGCCTCTCTTGTTTCTGTTATTTTGACAGTCATAGTTGATGATTCTAGAATGTGCTGTCTGTTGTTAGTGAGAAAATAACCTAAGGTTTTTATGGTGAGAAAATAAAAATCAACCTAAGTTAAATTTAGACTCTGTTAGCAGTTCACTCTCTAACATTTCCCCTAATTATTCCTAGTTATTCCTACTCTTAACTCATTTTGTGCATACCTAATAATAAAAGAGCTTACTTATTTGTTTTGGTATGAAACCAAAATCAAGAAGGAATAAAAAAAACATACCAAGGACAATGATGATCCATTTTCAGTATACATCTAAAATAAAGGAAGACATTTGAATCAATGCAAAGGTGATAAAATGAATATTATTATGCTTTTTTCAATAAGTATACTTAATCTCAAACTTTCAAAGTCTATTCCAGCACAATAACATTTTGGAAACTATTCCACCTCTGTATCCAGATTGTTTAAAGCATTCAGGAAGAAGCAAAGTAATACAAGGCGAATTCACAGTTTTCCCTTATATTTTCCCTCACAATAAAATGCAATCAAGAAAATCAGAACACAGATGTAAGTTGAGAAAAAAGGGAGAAGCATGCTTAAGCCTTAAAACCCTTTTTTTAACTCAATTCATTTTACAATTGGGCGAAGAAATGGATAGAGGCAAGCATAATGTGTGCATTTGGCACAAAAAATGGTAAGAGGAAAGAGCAAGAAGCACTTTTCACTTAACTTTGCTATTCTGCCACATACAACTTTTCTACAACCATCTTTCATTTTCAATTCACTGGATTTTTTTTTCATGCATCTGGTGTTTACTACCTTTAGCATTAATTCAAATTAAAACATTAATTTGATGTGAAAAATGCTACTACTACAAAGCATAACACTCAACTTCTAGAGACCACATCCTTTTTAGCATATTCTAAAGCAGATTAATGGAACACAACAGCATTAATGATATACTGAATGCAGACATATTCAGCTGGGGGCTGTAATACTGACACAGGAATTCAAAAGGTTGTGAGAAGGAGTATTATGGGCTGTACACTGCCAAGAAAGCAGGGCAGTGGAGCCAGTGCAATAGAACTCCTATCTTACTTCTGTCACAAACTCAAAACCATACATTATATGGGAGGTAACTAGCTTATCTTTAACTTAAAAAAAATAAAGTACAGCACAGCCATGGGTACATAATTTGCTTTGAGATGTGACATTAAATTATTATTTATATTTTTTTAACCTCCATATTCCCAATACGTGAATTCTGAGTGTTGTCAATACATGGCATTCTCTGAACTCATAGGATGCAGCAACAGTAGATTGGCTTGTACAGAATAGCATGAGCATGCTTGGAGTCAACCTGAGTTTTGGTTATGCTTCTAGAATACTACCAACAATGTACCAAAATTGATGGACTTTTTAATCCTTTACAATCAGCAAGGAATGCTATACATGGCAATAAGAATGGTAAATAGTCTACACTTTCCTATATTGTTGAAAACATTATGTGAAAGCTTCAAATGACTGAAGTCAGGGTGTATGGTGAAGAATGATATGTATGGGCTACCTTGTGACAACTATAGTAAATGAAATGTTACACCTTGAAATGTAAAAGGAGAAGATGATATAGAACATGGATTAACTAATGAAATTAAATTGTATGAAATTAAAATGGATTTTTATGTGTCTGTGAAACAGAAATGGATACAGTGATATAGAAATGAATGAATGTGGTCTAATCTTAATGGAAATTGCTGAATGCATGCGGGGATTTGAAGATGAAATTATGAATAAAGTGCTAAGGTGTATGTCAGAAACTATGAATCGATGCTATTCATATGCTGTAGCTGACAGCCTGGGTTTGAGACCCAAGTATGTTTTATTATTAACCTCCCAATAAGTTAAATTCCTAACAGAATGATTGGAAAGTAGAAAACTAAGAAAAAGGAATCTGGAAACTGCTTGGAACAAAGTGGGAAAAGATTACATTAGAGAGTACCAAATAAATACATTACATTAATGGGAATATGAAAAATTTGTGGAATGATGAAGTAAAAGAGGCTGTAGATGGAAGGAAGGAAACCATGATCCATAAGTGGCTATTATTATAATTTGGCTGCAGTTTTGGGTGGCTGTCAGTGAGAATGAGTCAGTGAATGAGATAGGGGACAGTGGACAAGGTCATCTTTGAGATGAGAATGGGTTAGGTAACCAGATGGAAAAGGAGTTGGCAGTCAGCAGCAGGGAGGCCACGATCTATGGCTTAATCTGGATTTGTCTGTTTCCAGAAGTAATCCAAGTGATTTATTTGCATATGGAATCCAATAAAATGTGTGTTATATTGTTTCCTTATGTAAACATAAAGGTAAGCATCAGTGACTGTAAAAACCAAACAAGAACTGTTTGTTAAGTGTGTTTAGGAAGGTGCTTGGAAGAATTTTGATCAAATACATAAGAGAGTTGACAAGAACCAACATCTGAGGCATTGCAGCTTAATAGCAGCGAAGGAATACGCAGATCAGCTTTTTGCTTTTAAGTTACATTTCCTTTTCTTATCTCATGCTTTTAATTTCTTTGGCTTACTATTTCTTACTTCCTTTTTGTGCTTTGCATACCATAGCTTACCTTGAAAGGGAATATGTATGCATGTATGTTCCCAATACAGTGCTTTCAGAGATTTGGCAATGCACCCACAAGGGGCCCAAATACATCCCTAGGAAAATGCAAAAGGAAAGAAAAAAAGACTTTCCCAAAACTGCCATCTTTAAGCTTTTTGGGTGATAGGGGTGGAAATAAAAGTGGGTAAGAGGAATTTAGAAAATAGAACACAGTGAAGATGCTGCCTCAGGGAAATGAATAAAGTGGGGCCATGAAGAATCAGGACCATTTGCAATAGATGTTGGAGAGTTCCTTAGGGGATAGGAATGGGGAACAAAAGGGGGAAGGCTAAAAAAGGTGTGCAATTGCCCTGGCCTCTGCTTCACTCCTATCAGAGTGAAAAAACTTCCAAAAGTGAGATGGGAAAGGCTGTAATTCAAAGGAGGACAAAATGAAAGAAATTGACAGATTCAGTAAATTTCCTATTCATCGTACTGGGCACCTTTAAACTCTTTCTCACTTGCAAATTATGGACCTGGAACAGGGATTAATTGAAAAACAAGGGTACAAATCTTTTTGTACCCTTTGTCATTTGGGAATGCAATGGGAAAGAGAGGAATAAGACTGTGAATAGTTGCTTTTGGTATACAAAATGTTAAAGCCAACTGTTTTGATCCTGCATTGTTTGTACATCCCTTAAGGACATCATGAATCACATCCACCTCTGTTTTAGTTGCAAAAAGTACAATTCCTGTAGTAGAATAGCATAATAATACAGACTGAAGACTTGAATCTGTCAGAGCTCCTGGATTTTTTTAAAGAGATTTCTCTGAAAGCACTATCAGGAAGTGCTGATGAGTATCTGAGCAATCAATGTTTCTATGCCATGGCAACACTGACACACACCAGACTGTGATTTTTATTGCAGTCACAGCATAACATAATCAATGTAAACATAATTTGACTGCAGTTTGGGGTAACCATGGCTCCCAATGCTTGCTTTCTTGGAAATGATAAGCAAGGCATCTTGGCATGGAAAGCATGATAAGTAAACATTCAGATTCTTGAATGAGTTAATCTGTTCTGCTCACAGAAAGACCCAAATGAATGTCAGTGAACAGTTTGCACCAATATGCTGGTTAGTTTATAAGATAAAACATTTCAAGTAAAATTTCCAAAATTTTAGAAAAAAAATGATTTATTATGATACATAAACTCTGTAGAGGCTGTGCTTATTTATATGCTAGTTTAATAAGTCATAATTATTGGTTTAAATTAATGTTTGCAATGGATGAGCATCACCCTGGGAAAGCTACTTTCACAATCATGGTATTTCCAATGAATCTAACAGGTATTCAGATTCCCTTATTTATTTAATCCCCAGAGATCATTTACTCTGGCACGATGTCCCCTCAGCTGTCCCTGAAAGCCAATACTAGGAAGATTCCTTACTTAGACTGTGCTTTTGTGACACTGGACACACAGGAACAACAGAGCATGCGCTTCTCCAGTGACTTTATGACAGAGACATATGTACTAGCCTCATTTCACCATTACTGCATAAATACCCAGAATGTATGGGATAATTTTACACCTCCTATTGCTTTCAGACATCAACCCTGCCACAACATACAGTGTTGCCACATTCTGCACAGCAATGCTTAAAGTTCATCTGATGATGACCTGTGCCATAAATTAGACTTAATGAGCATCTGGTTCACCATAGGAGAATGTTCTGTAATTTGAAATAGTCTTCCATATACTAACTTATATTCTCTCCTACATCCATCTGATGTTTCTACCCCATCTTTTAGATTTTTTTTTATACTTGTTTATGTATAATTTCTGACTTAATATATTTTTATATTTTCTAGCTTCTTATAATTCTTATGTATCTTCCGTGCTTCTTAATTAACTGTACTCCACTCTCTTTATGCCGATCTATGATCATAACAGAGATCTGATTGACTGATGTGTGAACCCAGGCCAGGTAACTCATCAATATGTGAGTGTTTAATCAAATAAGACTTATTAAAATACTCTATTTCATACACACACACACGTGTAATCATGGAACACAAAATATGCAAATTAATTTGCTTCTTTCTCCCTTGCTTTCTATAATGAATATTTCTTTACTTGAACGCTTTTTAAAAAGACACAATTTACAATTATACTTCTTCATAGGAAAGAGAACAACTCATGGTTATACATTATTCTTAGTTCTGATGACACAGTTTATACAAACACACGAAAAGTATAACTAAGAAAGGCACGTTCAAGCCCATTTTCAGCCATGGAAGGCCACTGTGTAAATCTGAGCCTGTCAATCTCTCATATAACTGTAACAAATGAAATAAATTAATTTAGATATTTTTTCCCCGTTTGCAAAACAGATTATTATGAAGAAACACCTTATACAGGCAGTCCTCGAGTTGCAATGAATATTGGGACCAGGATTGCTGTTGCCAAGTATTGCCAAGTTGTAAAGTTCTACATCATGTGACTGCATTACTTAAAGACAGAGATCAAGGCACTCCCAGTTGTCCTCATAACTCCAAGACATGAGGGTCGTAAAGCAGGAAGCAGCAGGAGTCCCAGGTAAGGAGTGCAGGGATGAGCTTTGAGAGGCCCAGTGCAGGCCACACGTAAGTTGGGAGAGGGGGTGCTGCAGAGGCCAAGGAAGGAGGATGTGGGATGCATGCAAGTGCAGGGGTAGGCAACCTTGGCTCTTTTATGACTGGTGGACTTCAACTCCCAGAATTCCTGAGCCAGCATGGCTGGCTCAGGAATTCTGGGAGTTGAAGTCCACCAGTCATAAAAGAGCCAAGGTTGCCTACCCCTGGGCTAGGGAATATGGTATGCAAGAAGTGGGGGGCATCCCCACTGATTTTGCTTGGGATAAGCTGGCAAGGAAGGTCTCAAATGGCCATCACATGACTGTGAGATGTTGCCACAATTGCCATAAATGCAAGCAGGTTGTCAGGCACTCAGATTGCAATTGCATGATTGTGAGGATGCTGTAATGCCCGGAACATTGAGGATCAGTTGTAAGTACCACTCATTCAGCATCGTTGCAACTTTGAAGACATGCTGAAGAAGTGATCAGTAAGCAAGGACTACCTGTATGTGGAAAAGGAACTGTGTGACTTCAGGTCTGAAGATATGTTTGAAAACAGACTCATCAATCCAACTTAGAATTGGTATATACTCACAGGTCACATGCAGAACAATGATGACATCGATCAGGTTTGATCAGCTGGCATCTATCGCAGTATCTAATAGCTATATTGAAGATTTCAAAGTCAAGATATGAAACACGAGCTTTAAAATTAGTACTTTAAAACGTTCCTGCTTCTCAAAACATAATCTAGAAGAATTAAAAATGTAACTAAGGTGCTTATTTCAGAGATGAATGGGTATGGAATAATGTGAAAACTCTCCAATAACTTATTATTTATTCATATAGATTTTATTGGCCACCCAACTCCAGTATAGAGCTGCTTAGCTATAACTGCTGTGAAAGTAATAGGAAAATGACCTATCTGTATATCTACTTATGGAAAGCTGAAAGATGAACATAATCTAAATTAGCAATCTCCAACTTTTTTGGCACGGCAGACAGGCAGCGATGACAGCAGCAGGGGAGAGGGGATGGTCTCGCGCATGCAACCTAATCCCGCCTATGCACAAATAAAGCTTTGCGTGCTTGCCCAGCTCTGCCGCTTGCCCAGCCCTGTTCCCAACTGGTTGCAGTCTGGTACCGGATTGCAGCCTGGGGGTGGGGGACCTCTGATCCAAACAGTATCTGGAACAGTTCTTAATTTTGATTTTTCCCTTTTATTGTCACTCTGAGAGGGACACTGATAGATTTTATAAACAAACAAATACCTGGAACTTTGAGTTAACCACATGGAGTCTCTATGTATGAGTTGGGTGGCCATATAAATTAAATAAACAATCAAACATACACCACGCAAAACTTTCAAAATGAAAAGAAAGTATCATTTCACTCATATCTTAAACAGAGAGAGATACTACCGTCCTTTTTTTACAAAATACTAGAAATATCTTTGCAAATAATGGATCTTCAGTGTATTTTGGACATGGATGAATGCTATAAATGCAGTTAGTAGAGGGATCAGGCAACTCAGCCTGACTAAGGAACATTTTAGCAATGTTCATGTGATACCGACATCAGGAAGAATGAGAGTTTAATTTTGGAAAAATCTGTCTGTTGATGTAGAAATAAAGATAACACATCTGGTGCAGGTCCAGTGAAGGCAACACTAATGCCATTCCTAAATGGCTTACCTCTTGATGTTGTTGTAGTATAGACAGGCAGATCTTTAGCAGCTCTTCTTAGAATTTCCTGCTGAGATTCTGGTCTCTCTTCTTTTTCATATTGCTCCTTATCACTTTTTGATAAAGAAAACTGCAGAAAAGGAGAGAAGCATGCTTGTTTTCTGCTCATTTTATTTAGCATCTGCTAACTTATATTTAGAGGATACATATAGAATGTTTCAGAATTTTTTATGCATTATTAATTCAAAGAAATATTAAATCAAAATCTTTGGTGACCAGTTTGTATCACCAAACACATAATGTATATTATCCTAACCCAAAATCTATTTCCCCTTTCATCTCTTTAGTACTGTACAAACTTATGTCCTACTTCTCCCCATTATTCCTAGGTATATGACATTATCTGGTAATTATAAATGCATGTTAAGTACATTATCTATACTTCTGCTGGATTCAGCAATTGTGACTGTCACATAAAATGTGCAGTGGCCTAGACAGATGCAAACTGCACTGTTCAAATTTATATAGTGAACATTTGCACTGGTTGGTTGGAAACAGGATTCCACTCATTAAACCCTCACTTGGCCACAGGGATCAAGAACTGGATGATGAAGGCAGTTCAGGAATGATGCAGTAATGAAACCACTAAATAGAAGCATGAGACTGAAGTCCTGGAAAATTTCAACACTTTGCCATTCCACACTGACAAGCTGAGCGCTACACTTATATTTTAAGACAAGATGTCATAATGTGGAAAGCATTTCAATTCAACAGGATGGTAACTTGGTCTATGCATTTCATAAAAAGTGACTGAACAAAATTGTAGCTACAATATAAGCAGATGGCCAGCTTCAAAATAATTTTTGTATACACCTCCTCCTAAAGAATGCCTCTTTAGTATTACCTATTTGTAAACAGGCTGAAACTGGTTTAGGATCTTCTTAGTGCTATGGCAGATTCTAAGCTTTTAAAAGTATGTAGCCACAAATTAAAAACAGGTGACACCTAATGAGATGCTGAATGCAATTCAAGTGCTGGTTTTGATTAATAAAACTTTATCTGCTTGATTCCTTGTTATCAATGACAATGTTGTCTCCAAATTGAATCTGCCTGCCCAGCACAATCAATTCCAGAAATGATGGTTTGGATCCCTTCTCATTAGGGGGACAGAAGGGCAATATGGTTATTCACAAATATTTGTCTATTTTTAAATTTTAAAATACTACATAATACTCTTCCATTGCTTTTCTACTTTCAGAAAATAAACAGTGAAAACACACTTCAGGCTAACTTTAAAATAAAGTAATAAAGTAAAGTAAATAAAATAAAGTAAAAGAAAATAAATATATTCAGGCCTACAACAGAAAAGACCCAGATAATGTTTGACTCTAAATAGAAGAGATGTAAGTTTTAGCAAAACCATTAAAAATATAACTGCCGAGTTACAATTGTCTCAGGCTGCATTTTGGTTTACCATAGAGCATGGGTGTCAAATTTGATCGTATCACATGACATATTGTGACATATCAAGACGTTTCCTGTCTTTGTGGAGCCAGGGTGGGTGTGGCTTGCAAGTGATGCTTCTGGCCTGTGGGCCACCAGTTTGACACCCCTGCCATAGGGCATTGATAAAATAATTATTTTTAAGAAGGGTCATGTTAAATTTAATTTAGAAAAGGAGTTCCATAGTGCATCTCTCTGTCTCTCTCTCCCTCCCTGCCTCCCTCCCTCCCTCCCTCTGTGTGTAACATGGGTTAGAGCATTGATAGTGACTTCATACCGACACTGTACATTTCTACAGAATTTGAACATTACTTGGGTGTCTTAAAATTAATAGCACTCCTAAGTAAGAATGAAGTTTGTTTTGAGCATAATTGTTAAAATAAGAATGATTATAAAAATGCACAATTATGAATTGGTTTATACCTATATTAAGATTATGAAACAAAATACAAAGGCCACCTATCTGAACACTGCATTACTAAGCTATGTCATTCAAAATAGCAAATTGTTCAAATTAAAGAAATCTAAATAATAATAATAATAATAATAATAATAATAATAATAATAATAATAATAATAATAATAATAATAATAATAATAAAAGCTATGGCAATGCGGTAATTTCAGAAAATAATTGTATGATTTTCATTCACAGCACATTATAATTTATTAAATGGGGACAGAAAAACTAAACAAAAAGAAAACTTAACAAATCTTATTTTAAAGCAAGCATTAGTAACACAAATAACTCAGTAGTAAGAACTGCATAACTTTGCCAATGATAACATTTACCTCATTGGAAGGGGAGGCAGGAGATGTAAAAATAGTCTTCCAATAGGACCACGCAAACATAACAAATGACAGATGAAAAATCACAAGGTAGACAACTGCAATAAAAATACAAGTAATATATCAGTGAAAACTGTTAAAAAGAGCAAAAACGTAAAATGAAAAAGAGTTAGGGGAATAATGCAACATTTCCTTTGCCCTATTAGCAAAATAAATTTGGAGACATAATTGTAGAATATGAGATTGCACAGAACCTAGAGTAATAGTCAACAATAAATCAATAATAGGTTCACACAAAACTTAGATCAGTTCCAATTGAGTCAAATAACAATTATAGGTAGCTGGCAAACAAAAATCAGAAGTGGATTCGAAGCCTGGCTTGTAAACCAAAGTGTGAAATTATAGGTATCCTAGAAACTAATACATGCACAAAAGGATGCTCCAAGCATATGGATTACTGCAATTTAGTTTACATAGGGCTGCTCTTAAAGAATAACTAAAAGCAGTTAACTGGTTTAGAATGCTGGGGCAAGTGAAGTTTTGGGTGTCTAGCGGTTTACCCAAGTAAAATTGCATTGCTATAGTTGCTTTCTAGATCCAATTCAAGGTACAGGTTATCATCGTTCAAGCTCCACATGGCACAGACCCAGGTTGGTTGTGGGACGGCCTCTCACTAATAGTATCTATGCTCCTATTATGTTAAATAGCTGAGCACGCTCCAGGTCCCCTTTCTTAAATCCTGCCACCTGATAGTTGACTCAGCCCTTTGGAGTAGTCTCCCTCCTGAGATACAAGGGATTCCTTCTGTTTGAATCTTCCACCTGGCTTTTGCCCCTAACATTAGACTAGGGTATGGGTTGAATTGGAAGGCTGTTTAGTCTGGAGCCTGGGGCAGGGAAGACTTCTGATTTTAGCTGTGTTTTTATGGATCATTCAGAGCTGCATAGAATCATTATACAAGATAGGCAGCCAAATAAGTCCTGATGGGGTTTCTTGTTTTCTAGTCAATTTACTTTAAACAGCCAATATTAATTCAATTATTTGGAGACCCTGATCTTTCCATGTTTTGAAAATGACTTGCAGGAATAGCAAACACACAGGCACACACAAAAAAACCTGAGATACATAGATACATATATGAGGAATAGAAATTGCCAGGATTGGTTTCAGTTGATGATGGCAACCATAGTAATTAGTAATTGCACTGGAATTTTCTCTTTGCTTTTTATTTTTTTCTGGGTTTAAAAATCAGGGCTGTCTTCTTTTTAGATAACCACAGTATTGATAACACAAGCACGTTTTGCCTGAGGTTTCTAAACAAAGTTCAGAATCAAAGGTGCATTTTCCTGAATAAAGAATATGATAGCAATAGTATATGCAATTTGAGGTAAGCACTATAAATATTATAAATTGTATTTTATTATTAGAAGATATGGAACTGGAAATCATTATGTGTTGAAATCCTTGCATTCTAATGAAATCCTTTTTTAAAAATTATTTTTACTTTTAATTACATTTTTCATTTGGCTTTAAGGGTTATTGTGTTTTTACTGTTTTCCATATTTTGTCTATTGGTTGTGTTATGCGGTTGTTTTTAATATGTGAGCTGCTCAGAGCTACAAATATGAGATGTGTGGCTATACAAATTGAATACATTTGAATTAATAAAATCCAGCCTTAGCTTCAGAAAAGCTCATCCTCTATTTCACCTGGATATGTTCAGTCTGCCAACATAATCTGTTACTCGTAATTTATATTTTTCTTAGTTCTTTAATTATGAATATTTATAATAAGAAAATATTATAAATTTATGAGAAACTATTCTATCCTGGTACTTTCATTCTTCTTATTTAACATCTGCATTTATATCTGCATGGAATCACGTGTTGTAAATATAATACTCAGCTTTATATCTCAACTATGACCTGAACATAGGCTGCATCAACTGTTAACTTCTAAACAGACCAGAGTGCAATCTCAGGCAGTACTTCACTGACTCTCAAAATGAAATTTATAATAACTATAAATTAGCCAGGATCTGGATAGCTCCTAACCCATGCATTGTATAGTCATCTAAAATGCAAAGGACCAGGAGTTCAATTCCCAGTACAGGGTTTGAACTGCATAGAGTAATATCTTGCTACTTGCATCTGAAGTGTCCCAATAAAGCAGGGGTGTCAAAATGCCGGCCCATGGCCGGTTGCATCATGCAGAAGCCACGCCCACTCCAGCTCCGGCAATGCAAAAAAAGTCATGATACGTTACAACACGTCACGTGATGCGGCAAGTTTGATACCCATGCAATAAAGGATCAAATCGGTTGTGCAGTGACTCCTGATAGTCACTGTAATTGAAAACACCTTGTGTAAAGATAATGAAATTCGCTCCTGGGGATGGGCTGAAGGTCATGTGATGCCCAGTATGGAAGCATGACATAAGAGCTGTATGTTTCTGCTCGTGGGCTTAAGGAAAGGCGGCCTGATTATACCATTCTAATTCAAGACAGCTTCTAAATAATTCTCCTAAAACCTTCTATTTTGGAATAGATCAAGATGCTTTTTTAAAAACTGGCTTTACCATTATGTTAATCCTTTGCGATGCGTTTAAGGTATTTACTTAGAGATCCATTATTGCTATTGCCTTAGCAAAAAAGAGATTTGGAGATTTTATTCTTATACAGTTGGAAAAGATGATTAAAGAGTCACTTTTGTTTTATGTTAGAGTCCCCCCCCGATGAATTGTATCAAGTATTTATAGCAGTTAAAATTAAAGTGGGGCTACCATTTTCAGAAAAATCTGACTATAGGAGAAAGGAGATTCAGATTTCTAAGTTTTATTCCAGATTCTGTAATTGTCAACTCAGACTATTTTTCACAGCGATTGGCTAGTCTATGCATCTCGCTATTAGGAATGATTAAATAAGGATTCCTTTTCTAAATACGCATTAAGAAACTTACTTGTCACCAAGCTAAGGACTTAATTTCTTTAACCTTAGGGTAAGAACAAGATTTCTGTGACCAGAAAAATCTGAAGTATATTTTTTAAGAAAATCTGTTTCCTAGTGCTGGATTGTATCAGCAAAGGTTTATTCATTCTTCTCTCCTTGGACATTAGAAAACTGGTTGGCAGACTAAGATGGGAACAGACTCATTATTTTGCTGCTACTTGTTATTTTTTAGTCTTTCTCTAAAGTTTAAAGCTGCTTTTTTCACACATTCTTTTTTTACTTTTTTCTCCCATTACTATCTTTCCAGATCTTATTAGCAGCAGCCGTGCTAAAGAACACTTGAGTAGTTGCTACTATCATCTTTGATCTTGACAAGCTATTCCTTCTAGAATCTTCCAGCCAACAAGTTCCTGATACTTAATTACAGCTGCAGAGAGTTTTGTAGAACAAATTAGTTGGCTTTTTAAACAGATAATCTTACAAAATTACAGATGTCAAAAGGAAATTTCTGATTTCCTATTCTCTAATTTAGCACCCGTTTCTTTCTTTCTGCATCTTTTCTCCATTTCCTATCATCATCTGTAATTGGCTTTTCCATACCATTTTCCATAGAAAAAACAAAGAACAACGAATCCAATTCCATTATTTTGCATTTTAAAGGCTGTTAAAGAAGGAGAGACATTGCTGGGGAAACCAGAACATTCTGGGATGGAATTTGGAGGGAAAGAGTAAGAATATCTTTCAAATCTGTATTTTAATATAGACGATTGCTGATCTGAACCTCACAGGCGAAGTTGGAGCAATATTTACTTTACAGAAAAAGACATGCAACCAACTCAAACATTTGTAAAATTGTCATTTGTGCTATTCATTATTTTTATTTGTATCCCACCTTTAATTTTTACAAATAACTCAAGGCGGCAAACATATACAGCACATCTTCCAGCTTCTGTTTTCTCCACAACAACAACCCTGTCAAGTGGGTTAGTCTAAGAGAGTGATTGGCCCAAAGTCACCTAGTTGACTTTCATGGCTAAGGTATGACTTGAATTCATGGTCTCCTGCTTTCTAGCCTGGTGCCTTAACCACTAGACTAAACTATCCTGCTGAATGTAGGTTAGAGGGCACACAAGTATTTATTGGATGGAAAATGGAAAGTACTCTGCATATTTTCTGAGATACTTTCTGGCTACAAAAAATTATTTTTGCTTATTTAGCTTAGCAATTCTTGTGGATGCTTGATTTGATGAACTGTAAGCTTATGCTGCTTCTGTTGCTTTAGAAAACTGAGTGATTTTAGATTTTAGGCAAGTGTCAGCAATATTTCTGTTGCCAAGATCCCACTTTTTCAACAGCTGAAGAAATCCATCACATGACTGAAAGGCATGATGCTGGAATTAATATTTTTTTTTCCAAAATTGAAGCAATTAGTAATTTTGCAAGATTAAACTCAAATACTCTATGACTTTACACATGCACAGATATAAAATGTTTTACAAAGAAAGAATCATACCTTTTTCTCCAACTGAGGTAATTGTAACTGGAGGAAAAACAAAACGAGTATGAGTATATCTGTCAGCTTTAGAAATTGAGCACATTAATAAAACACAATGTATTCAAACATATTAACTTAATTGAAGAGAACGTGCATTTTGTCATTCTCCACTCAAAAAAACCTATCTATTTACATAGGTAATAACAAAACAATTGAAGGGCTATGAACATTTTTCCCTGGGGAAATGAAGGAATGATTTTGTTTGCCTGCCACTGGCAAACAATTCCCCATTTGTCTGTTCATAGCATGTTTGCTTCTGACAAACAAATATGCTGAATCGGTAGTTCCTTCAATTGTGTTTATTTCATATTTCCTTCAAGAGATGCAGATTATGAAACTGAAATGATGAAAGTTATATAATGGCAGCAGACAAAAATTCAGGCGGAGGGCCCCAGTTTATATGATCACATCACAGCTTAATAAACTGAAATGATACCAAATCTAAGACATCTGCCAGTTCCATCCTTCTTGGTGTGCAATAATCAAGTTATAATTTCCTTTTTAAAAAATGTTAGATTTTTATCCCTCTTTATCAGCAAGAGTTCAAGGTGGCATAAACTGCACTGCCTGTTCCAATTTTTCCACACAATCACCTTGGGGAGGTAGCATGGGCTGAGAAAGAACAGTCCAAAGTCACCCACTAAGTTTTCATGACCGAGAATGGACTTGAAACCGCATCTCTCTGCACCCAGCATAACTTTTTAATCCTTGCACCAGACAATGGTTTTCAGATACAGAAAAACCTAATGTTTTAAGCAGATTTCAGTGTCAACAAAAGTTTGAAGAGTTAAATTAAGCACCCAAGCTTTATTAGGGCAAAATTTTGAAAAATGATATTCATACCTTTCATTTTTTGATCTGTGAGGAATCACTGAGTGAGTCATTACAAGATATTTCGAAAAACCATGGGTTTGTAATCTGGTATTTACTAGTAATTGTATATATTCCTGGATAAGCCAACTCTCAAAGATTTAACCAAAATACCATGAAAAATACACCACAAGCAGATAAGCCAACTCTCAAAATTCTCATATGCTTTAATTTTTACAATTGTCCTATCTATGGGTAGTGAATTTTTCATGGTATTTTGGTTTAAAAATTTGAGAGCTGGTTTATTCATAGGTGGTCTTATCTGCGTATATGTGGGTAATTTTAAAAACTATTACTGATAATACTTTTTATTATCACTATTGGTGTCACAGTGGTTAGAATGCAGTATTCAGACTGACTCTGCCCACTTCCATGAGTTCAATCCTGACAGGCTCAAGGATGATTCAGCCTTCCATCCTTCTGAGGCTGGTAAAATGAGGTCCCAGATTGTTGGGGGCAATATGCTGACTCTTTAAACCGTTTAGAGCAGTGGTGGCGAACCTATGGCACGGGTGCCAGAGGCGGCACTCAGAGCCCTCTCTGTGGGCACGTGCGCTGTCACCCCAGTCCTAGATCTTCAGCTGGGTTTTATAAAACCTTTTCGCTTTAGGCCTCCACCGCTGTGTACAAAAAAAAAAGGTTCAATCAATCAGTCAATTTCAACTTGTCGTGCGAAAAAAAAAGATCTTGCAAAGTTGGAATTGATTGATTGAACTTTTTAGTCCCACCCAGTCTGCTGTTACCACCACAGCCACGCCCACCCTACGGGTCACACCTACCCAATGGACCACACCCACCCAATGGGCCACGCTCACCCGGCACCTGACAATGCATAAGTGGGTTTTGGGTTGCAGTTTGGGCTCTCAGTCTCTAAAAGGTTCGCCATCACTGGCTTAGAGAGTGCTGCAAAGCACTATGAAGCATTATAAAAGTTTGTGCTGTTGCTATAATCATTAATTTTCTTTCCCTTAAATTTAACATTAATTGGTATGTTTAACATTTAGCCTTGAAATTAACACACATATTCAATAAGAAGTTTATATACAGCTAATTCCAATGTTGTTATTATTTGCTTGATAGCTTTATCCCATATATGGCTATTCAAAACTTAATATCTGCAAGCTCAGTATAGCTTAGCTCCATTGGATATAGGAGCTCTTAAATAATGTTTCCTTCTCAGATAATACCATCTTAGTTCAGCCTCAAAGAATACAATGGCATTTGAAAAGTACAATAGAAAAGACTATATTATACCAGTGTACTGTGAATAATAAAATAATAATACAAAATCTAATAAAGATTTTTATCCTGCCTTTATTACTTCATAAGTAACTCATAGCAGCAAACAGATCTAACATTCCTTCTTCCTCCTATTTTTTTCCACAACAATAACCTTGTGAACTGGATTGGACTGAGAGAGAGAGCCCAAGGTCACCTAGCTAGCTTTGTGTGTGTTGGGGTCTGCTGCCATCTGAGTTTTTCAGTATTTTGTGTCTGTACTATTATTTGTGTGTGTGTGTGTGTGTGTGTGTGTGTGTGTGAGGGTGGTTTCCTGGCTATAAGCCACTAAAAATCTGTTAAATTACAGTAGGATATACATTTCACCTCACAAACACATTTTTAAGCCAAAGACAATATTAGCTAGATGTTGTCATCTACTGGAACAAGGATCCTAAATGCAGTAAGTTATGATTTAACACTTTGGATTGTAACTGGCAGTATTTGTGGTCAGATATCCTTACAAAATAACAGACTAAATCAGTGGTGTTTGAAGTAACACAGACAGTTCATCTACATATGTTACGTCTCTTCCATAACAAACGACGCAAATTATATATTTACATTCAACTCACATTAAATGACAGATATGGACGCCAGCAATTTGTCATTAATAAACATTCAGGAGCAACAGTTCACTATGGTCTTTCCTTTTAATCCGCCATTTTCCATCCCACCCCCGTGACTGTGAAGTATCATGCCTGGAGTTTTAACTTGATCTCATCAATAGCAAAGTTACCTTGTGGTAAGATGAATGGCCCATAAATTTAATAAACAGTTAAATAAATAAAAAGATAGGTAGCAATTATCTTTGCAGTAGCATCAGATCCAATAGCTCAGGGGTGTCAAACTCGAAATGTCATGTGACGTGTCGCAATGTATCGTGACTTTTTTCCCTCTGCTGGCAATGGGGTGGGTGCGGTTTCAGCATGACGCATCCGGCCTGTGGGCCAACAGTTTGATACCCCTGCAATAGGTGACTAAGTCATTATAACACAAAATACTATGTACACCATTTGAGATGCAAAGCAGCCAAATGGCATTGTACATTGAAGAAAATGTCACTACCATCCCCATCTAGCACCTACCTGTAGAGAGATAGGAATAAATTTCTCCTAGTGACAAAATAGTACCTCTCCGGATATGATTGAAATGCATTTCACACAAGCTCCAACCCACCTGATCAATAGTGAAAGATGCTGATAATTTAGCAGTTTCTGGAAAACTAAATGTGGATTAACATCTTGCCTAGAGCATTTTGTTTGGCTCTTTTCTTGAAATGATAGCTTAGTAAGTTTCAATAAGCTTTGCAAAGACTTTCTTGAGGACTGAGCCTTTTACGATCCTTCAAATCCAACATGGATTGAAGCCAGCAAAGTTATTGTGAAAACCTTGGCATCTTTTTTACCTACCCTGAATCATCTGTATTCCACAGATTATGTTGGTAATAATAAGTTCTGACTTATTTTATAATAACAACTTATTTTGGAAATTCAAGCTATTGGTTGGCTCATTGATTACTTCTAGGAATAATTAAAAGCATTCCAAGTTGCTCAGAAATCTGTCAATTGTAATTACACCTCTTTCATTATGACAGTTTTCCCCCCTTTATGTATACATGTGTATATGTTTGTATGTGTGTGTAAATATATATGCCATTTATAGAAGGAAACTATCTGACTTTATCTTATCTTACAATTTCAATTTGAATGAGCTTGTTTGAGCAAACAATTGCTACTTGGAGCTTTTTTTCAAATTATGTAGGAATAATTCCTGATATGATACTGAGACAAGAAGGCTCACACAATTTCTCACAACTTTCCCCATATTCAATCTGAGAAGCATACTAGACAATACTTTAGGAACAGTTGGAGAAACCAGTTTTCTATTCCAAAAACATTTCTGGTAAGGATATATAGCAAACTGGAATCGTTAGTTCTAAATATGGATGGAGACACAGTAATTCCAAGCAGAAGAGTTTTGAGTAAAAACTTGATGGTCTGGGTGTTTATGAAAAAGAGAATGGAAAAAAGCCCAGGAAATTAAGGGGAAACCAGTAGGAATTCAAGGGGAGGGAGGGGAGAGAAGGCAGCAGGGAGATGGGGTAAACTGGGACATGACAACTGGGAGCACTGGAAGAAAGGAAAAGAGATGGGATAATATCTTGTCCTATCTATCCTGTAAAATCCCTCCAAAGCCAAAACAGAAATATTCCAGGTTTTGTTTCTGCTGAATCACAGCTGATCTGGAATGATTTGCCAAAACTTTCAAAAGAAAAACAGTTTGTTTAGGGTTAAAAACCAAACAAATGTTCTCTTTTGTGCACATCCCTACCACTCTGTTGTAAGAAAATACACAACTTACAAATTATTGCTGGAGAAAAAAAATGGGAAAATAATTATCAAAAAATTGCAATTGGGTAATGTACTGTAAGTGTACTTTACATAATGTAAAGTGAATACTGGACTTATCTAGACAACCCGTGACCTGCTGGGTTACCGTTTCAGAGATATTTCCATAACTAAAAAGAGAAATAGAATGATCATGGGTGGGTTAAAAAAGCAGTGGCAGTAGGAACAACTTCCAGCTGCCTTCCCTATTGAGTTTCCTTGGGGAAAGCTGGCAGGGAGCATCAGAAATCTCCCTTCCTTTCCCTTTTCTTCTCTTCCCCCCTCCCCTAATTCCTGCTGGCTTCCCCATTTACTTTGCTTGTGGGAAGCTTGCATGGACAAAGTCAGTGGGGAAACCAGCAGGAATTTGCAAGTCCAAGGGAAGGTTGTGAGGTGCTCAAGAGATGCTGTGAAAGTCAGGAAGGGCACACAGGTGGGTGGTGTGGG